TGAGTAAAACATCCATACGTTGAGTTGGAGGACCAGTTGCCCAATCAGTGTTGTTGTAAGCTTCTTCAGCGGCAACTACGGCGGCTTCGACATCTTCTGGAAGAGCTTCATAAACTTCGGTAATTAATTCTTCGGTGGATGGAGAGACAACTTCCATGGTTTTCTTTTGTTTTGGATAAACGAATTCATTGTTGATGAATAAACCAGTTGGTTGTTCATAGGTTAAACCCTTTGGGGNTGTTAAGATATTCCAATTGAAAACTAAAGAGAGAAAGGAAGAAGAAAGTAGAAATTGAAAAATCGAAAACAGGGAGAATTCAATTGATATTTATATTCGAATATACCCCTCCTCAATAACAAGGAGTTAAGTGAATATTATAAGAAGAAGAAGGTTTTTATACAATTGGCAATTATTGCACAAAAAAAGGGGGAGTAAGTGTACAAGTGTTTTTCGACGGAATATTTTTTTATGACTTTTCTTGTGGGGTTGATTTGTAAACTCCGTTTTGGACAAAAATGTATCACAATTTTTTTGAGCCTTTTGGCCCGTACCAAATTAATTTTTACTATGGGTTTGGATCTGATGTCATTTCTCTATTTCCCCCTTATTTATAGGGAAGATAGGGAAGATAGGGAAGATATCCTATCTGGTCTTGATTATTAATTACAAGTGATTATTAATACCTATAAACTGATTGTTCAACGTGGTGGCAAAAATCTTAAATGGTAAATAAAATAGTCATTTCCCCCAAGGCAACTTTTGCTTTCCCGTAATTGGAATAATAATTAATTTAATTTAATTTTGGTTAAAGTTTCTTATGCCCTTCAAGAGTTGTGTCTAATCTCCGGGAAATAGATTTTTATTTTTGACAGGAAAGAAGTTGAATTAGTCTGCTCATTGTTAGGCATTGTTTCATCTCTGATATATCTACGCGTATTGCCGTTCATTAAGTTTAGTGTATCTAATCGCGACCCTATAAACAGGGACTTAAGAGGCATTTACGTAAATCAATACATTTTCATTTAAAAGAAAAAAATAATTTTGTACGTACTGTAAATAGTGTAGGGCATTTCGGATATTAACGGCAATTGGTGCAAATTTTGGAAAAAAAATAATGTTCTAAACCCCGTTGAACCAAATTTGTGTGTGATGAATAAATTTATTTGATCTTTTTAATCTGTTTAATTACATAATCATAACATTTAATTAAATCATTACTAGTGATACCAAGTATGGTTGATAATGTCATAAATAGTTTATTATTAATTTCTTCTTCAGTTGCTGTTGTTGTTGCTACCAATTGACAATCCATTTTCATCAATGTTTTATAGACAAGGGATATATTATCATCTTTATTCTCAACTACTCTGTTTTCATGACTAGTGTCCTCCTTCTCATAATTAAATATTTGATAGAGTCTCTTTTCAGTAGTGGTCAAATCTTCATTCAGTTTTTTGTAAATAACATTATCATATAACCAATCACAATAATTATTAATCTTCCCATCTGACCAATTTAAAACATTGGTATCATATGATGATTGGAGTTCATATTCTTCAAGCGTTTTCAACCAGTGAAAACTCAGAAATTTTGCAAGATTTGTCTTGAAAGATAATTGACCAATAAATATTATGATACATGCAAGATAGATTTCAGGATAATTGTATAAGAATTGTGTTGATTTCGAGGGATTGATTATAAATTCGTTGATATTTAGTAGTTTTAGTAATTCATAACTCGTCATGAATAAATCTGGAGTATTCGGTAGGATTAATACTTCACTTAATATTCGAAAAATATAAGGAAAATAAAAATCTATTGGAATTGTCATTGATTTATTCAATCTAGTCAAGTTCACCTGAATCTTACGATATATTTGAGTATTGGTAGGTAACAGAAACATCTGTAATCTATTGTGATATACTATTGGTAATTTATCCAACATTTTCTTGGGGATCAAATGTAATGTTCGTATATATGGAATCTCATTACTTTTAATCTTTTCAAGTATATCAGAAACATATATCGGATAAGCTCGTATTTCAAGTAAAGATAAATATATAATCGCAATAACATCAAGTGCATCTATTTGTTTATCTTTGTATTTGTTGTCACTCATTTCAACACCTTCATGCTTTTCCTCATTTGGTTCTGTTTCCTCTTCTTCCTGCTCTATCTCATCATCGTGGTCATCTCCTCTATGTACACTCCCTAACACATTCACCCAATTCCGCTTTACAATATTTTCCAAATCATTCGCCACATTTTCACTAAATCCAAACACTTCCACAATTTTATCCAACTCCAATTTCAACAACTTCAGTATCGTCCTTAAATATACCTCCTTCGCCTCTCTTCCAAACACCCTTCCCTCATCCCTCTTCATCTGACTCCCACCGACTTGTGGTGTGGCCGAATAGCTCCCCCTATCATCCATTTGAACATGTTTTAATCTTTTGGTAGTCACGATTGCCTGATCTTGATCATCATTGATTTCGATGGCACCTTCTAGGACGTGTCCGAATTGACAGATCGTGAGCCCATCGGTGGTACGATAGAGACGTGATCGACAGTTGGAGGTGCCGCATGGTGGACCTCTAAACCAGGTTGATTTCGCCATGTTTGTAGTCTAACTTGGTGAATCTTGATTTTGAGATGAGGAGGAAAATGGGGAACTAATATTTTTTTTTTATAGTCGCAACAGTTTGCAATGGATGCAAGAAAATGGTTTGATCTTGTCGTGTGTGTGGTTGTCAAGCTGATAGTCGTAGGACGCAAATAGATATCGTCTTGAAACGATAAATGACTATAAAAGAGAATGACTGCCTAGCAATATCATACAAACTTTTATTAAAATTCTATAAAATAAAAAAACCTTTCTAATAAAAAACCTTACTCTAGCCATACTATAAACACACCTATCCTGCCAAAATCTATTCCTCTTCTAATCTTAAATCATATTCACTTAATCCAATCTTTGAACCCAATTTCCTAAAATTTTTCATATAATTTTCTCTCTTCTTTTCGGCAATTTCATTCATCTTTGGCCAATAAACATCATGAATATATTCAAAATCCAACATTCCATTAAATTCCTTATCCAATTGTTCTTTAGGCACAAAATTCTCAAATGGTTGATCATAAATCGTTTTCAGTCTAGTATATGGATCAATGAAAGGACCAACCACTTTAAAAAAAGTATATCCAATCCAAGGAATATTAGTAAACAACCCACGACCCAATCTTTCAGGATAATGATTTTGTAAAATATGTAAAACTTGTTTTGATATAGAAAGTGAAGGGAATTTTGACGATAAATTCATATGAGCCGGTGCTTGTTTGAAATCAATCAATAATGCTAATCCATCTTGCCCAGGTGGCATGAATTGTATAACTCGTTCCAACATAAATACTAAATGTTGAACTTGTTTCATACTTGGAGGAGTATTTTGATATCCATTCCGTAAATATAAACAAGGTCTATTTTCATTATCATATCCCACAATTAATTGTTTCCCAGTAGTATTTTCAGCCGCCACTAATTCAGGGGTAATTAATTTATTAGGATCAGTATGATTAGCAATATTTATGACACCAAATGTTCTTCTCCAAATTATGGTTTCTTCAATTCTTTTAATTGCAGCATCTACTTTCCATTTCGTAGCTCTAAGATATCTAAGGAAACATTCTTTAGTCAACCATGCTAATTCTTCTTCTAACATTGGATGAGTCATTGCATCATGATGTTCACCGACTGGGATTTCTTTAGTTATGTATTCTTCAAAATGACGTAAAACCGTGTCATACTTCTCCCATTGTTCTTCAGTCAAGTCAAATACAGGTGGGTTTATCGGATTAATTGGTTGTTCAAATGGAGTATGACATTTTATTAATCCTTTTTTATTATTTGATATGGATGAATTGGTAGTGCTGCTAGTAACCGAAGTCGCTTTTGAAGAAATTGATTCGGAATCGGCCCCACTTTGAGCAGTTGTTGAGTCAGTATAGTCATCGGCAGGACCATCTTGCTCCTTCTTCTTTAAAAACTTCATCATCTTGTACTTACCCGATATATGTCTATAATCTTTTGGTTGGGCGGCTATTTGCTGGTCTTCTAATGTCACCTGCTGTGTGTGAAAAGTGAGAAAAGAAAGAAAGGAAAAAAATTAATTTATAATTATGATCGGAATTAAGACAGTGGGAAAAAAAAAAGATTTTTTACGCGATCGACGCATCAAAGAAAAAACGCAAAACTTTAAATTTAGCACGGGAACGGGAATTTTTTTACCACGGATTTGATTCTGTTCTTCCGACCTAAATTTTGAACCAGAAGAAAAAAAGACTCTTACGGTGGTGCGGCGCGCTTTCACCACCACCACTACTTCTTGCCCTGTGAAAATAATGTGGCATATGATACCGGGGAATCGTGAGGCATACAAACATTAATCATCAGATCAATTAAGCCTAATTAAACATGACAAGTGTATCTGTTACTAGTAGATCCACTGATAGGGAAATTCCATTCACAGAAGAATTCATTATTGAATTAATCAAAGAAAATAATTCCACCGTATCGCCAAGTGAATTGATTTCCAAAATTGCTGAAAGTCTTCAAATAAAATCATCAAAACATAAATTCATAGTTCAATTTACAAATATTAAGAAGAAGAATGATTTCGATGCTGATTTAGATCTTCTGTCGGATTATGCTGGTGTTTGGGAACAATCTAAAGATGGATGTATTACATTAAAAGTAGAAGAAGATAAGGATAATGAATCAATAATACTACTTATATCTATCTATTGGATATCTGTATAAAGAAACGATAGGCATCAGTTTGAAGGACTCAATTAAACAAATGATGAAGGGTTTCCAATTTTTCATTCAATTCAATTAAAGACCTTGTTTCCGGGGTAGATATTTTCTTTAAATTTCGTTCTATATTTTCAAGTAATGGTTTTATATCTTCATCTTTATCAGGATCAAAATCACTTAATCTTTTAGTGGTTGTTAATAAATTTATCCCCTTATCAGGATTTGGTTTCAAATTATGTAACAGCAATTGTCGACGCTTATTTTTTATATCCAGTTCTAATTCCTTTATATCTGTCTTTACAGTTCCCAATAATTGAATTAAATATCGTTTATCAGCCAAATATTGTGTTTCTAATTCATTATACACTGATTCTAATTGTTGTACTTGTTCAATCTCTGCCAGTAGATATGCCTCTAGAGCAGTTTGTCTCAGTATCAATGTTTCATAATTTAATACATCCCTAAGTTCTCCAACATGCCTAGTTACAATACCTTCAGTTAATACCGATCCTGGTAATGGGAACTTGGATACTACTGATCTGGCCAAGAATGATTGAGGATTATTCATATCTAGCCAAGTTTTGGATAAAATTTCCTTTGCTTGCATGATTTTTTGAGTAGTTATATTACGATTAAGTCCAGAATCTCCCGTATTTGCACCACCTAATGAATCAAGAGCTTTATTTAATGACAAATTTAGAATATTCGTTAGACTCTTTACATTCATATCTTCTAAAGGTTCCCAGAATCGATCTATACGTCCTTCCGATATTGCTTTTGTTTGGGTTATCATGGTATAATTGCTTGGATGAACCACTCGAAGATCTTCATCTAGTTTCTTTCGTTTAAGTGGAGGTTCTCCGTTCATTACTTCATCATCGGTGCTATCATCATCTATTGAGCTATCTGATACATTTTCATCTGATGACAGGTTTTGAAACTGTAGTATTCTCACTTGTTCTCCAGGTCGACCTTCATTAACCCTAGTTTGTGCTTGTTGTGTATGTAAACTATTATCGCCTATTCGAGTGTTATTTGCTTGATTTACACCTCGATCGCCCCTGTTATTCTCCGATGGGGGAGAAGCCAGTTCTTCATTCACGAAAAGTGCGCTATCATTTTGGTTGTCAGATCCTTCCATATCTGATTCATTAACCAAAAGATCGTCTTCTTGAATTGATGCCAGATCATCTGATTCTGATTGTTGTTGTTGATTTCCAGTGCCCAATGTTGCCGATTGCATTATTAGCTGCGGATGAATGTTATCCAATTCTTGTTCATCGAATGCTTTGTTGTAATTGCCTGCTCGTTGGGCATTGGTGTTTGCACCATTTGTATCAGACGGTTCATTGGATGACAGTGGAGTTGACATATTGTTGTTAATGAGATGTACTAGAAACTTGATGATTTTCTATGCTACTGTTTTGAATTTTTTACAACCGCGTCTTCAATGGCATAGAAAAAAAAATCATTTGCGCTTTTCTTTGGTAAAATTTTATTAACCCTTTTTCTTTCTAAGAATGTGGGTTACCAAAAGGCCAACCAAGATGAACTTATACTTTTTGCGGCCGAAGAGTAAGTATGACGAATTTCGCTCAAAGCGTAATTTGACGGTATGAATAAAAACCCTGTCTTGCTGAGGTATTGTATAAGAAACTGTCTAACCAGAAAAAGGTCAAGGTTTGTTCACAAGTTGAACAGATGCGTCTCCACTTTGCGCAAGGACCATATTGATAAGGGCCGGAACTTTTGGAGGTAAATTATTTTGCGTCAAAAAAACAATGGGTCTTGTGAAATGGCAAACAAAAGTGTGATCATAACAAAATTCAATCGGTCCGCTGTGGTCATAACATTAGTGTTATGGTATGGGCTGCTATTGTTGTGGTCCCATTTTTGTTTAGGATTACGGAAGACCCATTTTTGGCTTTTTCCTCGAGCGTCTTTCCACAGAGCATTCGTCCGAGAATATAACTTGCCTCCAATATCCCATATCCTTATTAATGAGTTCCAACGCAAACTGAAGACGTTCCTGTCTAACATCCTCACCAAGCTTGGTCTTTTCTGGCTAGATTTTTTTTTATATCGCGCTTCCGCGAGGTTCAGTATAAGGTTTGTACCGAAATGGGATGATTACTCAATGAGTGCAGTTTGACATACTGAATCTCGGGAAATTGTTTCGCTGCGACAACTGTACGTTGTTCCTCTTCTCTATTATTAATTTTGGTCGGCCGCTACGCGGGGCTCTATGGATCGGGCCCCGTTCTTTCGTAGCCTTCGCTGCTCTAGACACAGTAGTCCGATGAAAATCTTCAAATCGGCTTCCAAGTCGGAGTGGCTGGCTCCGCATCCCAATGCTTATGCGTTAAACCCTCTTTCTCCAATGGTCAAATAAGGCGAAAAGTGAAATCGGAACGCGTCAGATAAGAAGACCGTTGTGTCGTTCAAATATTATTGGGTTTTCTTTTTTTCTGACTTCACAAAAGAAACGTGCATTCAGAAAATTTTCACATTTTTCATGATTTGATAATCTAATCTCAACTCTTCTTTTCCACTCTTCTCTAAGAATTAACCCTAAACATGACTACTAGCTCAAAAACTAACTGTTCATTCACTGTTATATCACATGAAGATGCATTAAGAACCTTTACTCTTGAAAAGATTGAAAAATTCATAGAAGAAGAATTATCAATCTCAGCATTTACCAGTCATAAATTATCACACAGAGCACATGATTATTATTTTGATGTTGAAGATATAGATGCCACTAGAGCACAAATCAAAGAATATCTTCATTCAGAACCTAAGGGATTTGATATTATCATTCAACCAACGGCAACTAGAAAGAATAAAAAGTTATTTATCTTTGATATGGATTCTACTTTAATTTATCAAGAAGTTATTGAATTGATTGCTGCATATGCAGATATCGAAGATAAAGTGGCTGAAATCACCACAAGAGCAATGAATGGGGAATTAGATTTTAACCAATCATTGGCAGAACGTGTATTATTATTAAAAGGAATAGATGCTTCTAATATTTGGGAAGAATTAAAAGAAAAAATCCAAGTTACAAAAGGTATACCCGATTTGTGTAAGGCATTGAAGAAATTAGGTATAATAATGGGTGTTTGTTCAGGTGGATTCATTCCTTTAGCTGAACATGTTAAAGGACAATTAGGTTTAGATTATGCCTTTGCTAATACTTTAGGAGTTGATGAAAATAATCATTTAGATGGTACAACCATTGGACCTATTGTTAATGGGGATAAAAAGGCTGAATTATTATTGGAAATTGCTGCAAAGAATGATATTGATCCTAAAGATGCCGTTGCAATTGGTGACGGAGCTAATGATTTGAAGATGATGAGTGTTGCTGGCTTTGGGATTGCTTGGAACGCCAAACCAAAGGTCCAATTAGAAGCACCTGCGTGCTTGAATACTGAAACTTTACTGGATGTATTATATATCATGGGATATTCAGACAATGAAATTGAAAAATTATTAGAATAAATAGCGTATAGGGATTATTTTCAACAATAGATACAACATAGACATAATTTATCATAAGACTATACTCTTAGTAACTATCTAATCATTTTACCCTCTAACATCTATCCAATTATTCTTCCTCTGACTACTCCCATTACTCCATTAAACAACAATATATCCATTCCAGGAAGTAAATCATCAATATCTATCGAATCTTCTTCTATGAAATCCTTCTTTAACAAGAAACTTCTAGTTACCCCACAAAGACACCCCGAACTCAATAATGGTGTTATCCATTTCCCATCAGAAAATCTCTTTATGGCAACATTTGTTATAGACCCTTCCATAAGTTTATTCAGGGTATTATATAACAACACCTCCTCCTTTCCTGGTCTTAAGCCAGGTAATATCCTTGCCCTGACTTCATTATATGCATCCCTTTTTGTGGTTTTAAATGACGTGAATGGTGATATCAATGTTTGTTTAGAGTCGATATATACATCCCAAACCTCATCGACATTACTCATTCCCATTAATGTCTCATCGACCAAACATGGAAACATTCCAGCTAATAAATCGTCTCTATGATCAGTATCATGAATCTCGACCCGAACATTCCCGGAAAGATCTACTAATACTCTATATTTATAAGGTAACATGACTGGTCTTTGAGCATATTTCATTGCTCGGATTAATTGTTCCAATAGACCCAGTTCAGTAATTTCAAAATCCATAGTTGTTTTGAATTGATGATGGAAATATGCCAATGTGAATTTCAATCTCTCGATATGCTCAGATAATAAGAAGAAATTAACACTGGATATTTCGTCATAAATCATCGGTGGTATTCTTGATAATAATGGGTCATATCGTATCGTTGAAAGGATTTCGAAATCGTGATTATACTGTTTTGGAAAATCTTTTTGGATATAGTCTTCATGGATGCTGGTGATTACTTCATCAATCGACTTGATTTTATGGTGTGCAGATGAATTGCTAGTCATGATACTCTCGTGATTCCACCTTTCAAGGAAAGAAACTGGTCTGTTTTGAAGAAAAATTTAGTTTTAGAATTATTCCAGAAATTTAATGGAACCAGCGAATGCCAAGTAAGTGCCACAAAAATACATTCTTTTTCTCAAGAAAGAAGCAAAGTAGCCAAGATAAGCTTTAGAAGAAGAGGTTTTCAAGCTTTCGGAGTATATTTTAATGTACGTTGGCAATAGTGATTCTTCGAAGCACAGACGAATGGAAGCTTGTGGTGATTTCCACTCACTTGAGCCGCTTCCAAAAGGGCTGGTACAGGGTTGAACGCGTAAAACAAGATGGAACCGTGAAACTCTTCCCCAAATCCAAGCAGCTATATGTTCTTCAAGTCTTGCTCCTTCTATCTACTTCAATAAGTTAATTGCAGAGATCATATTTTTTGCAACCAAATATCGCTAATTCCAGTAGAGTACAGTCTATTAAATAATATACAAATTAATATATCTCTATATAAAAAGATCCCACACGCTAAACCACTCAATAAGGTCTAAATCTCTTCTTTTCTCTCATTAATCTAACTCTTTCTTGATCTAACTTGAACTTCCTCAATAATTCATTCATTTCTTCCTTCTTACGTTGTCTTAATTGGAATCTATAGAAATCTTCCTTTTCCTTCTTCTTCATCTTAGCTTTTGCCTTATCAGCTTCAACAGTAGATGCAAGCTTTTGCTTACCCAATATACCTGCTTTTGTCTTTCTATGAGATCCAACAACCAATGTAAATCCATCCTCATCGACTAGTTGAGTTTGTTGTTGTAATTGTTCAATAGACTCTTGTTCTTTACGATCAAATTCTATTAAAGATTCTGAAACTTGGTTAGATAATTCTTCAACATCTAATATTTGTGAATGATATTTGTTTAAATAATAATTTGAATCAAATGTTTGGATTGGCCAATTTGATGTAGTTTGATTCGAAGATAATTTCTTTAATGCGTTAAACGCAAGGGTGAATGAACCCTTGTCGATAAATGTCACAATACCACAGTTTTTAGGTAATTTACTAGCAACTGCATCATCCTTTTCAGTGGATATTTCTAAATCACTGGTTAATTTAGATAAATTTATCCAAACATCTTCAGGATAATCGGTCAAATATGAAGATGTGAAAGTCTCTATGGTAGCACCAATAGCAACTGATTGGAAATATTTCTTGATAATAGTTAAATCTGTGCCTATTGGTAAATTAAATATAAATATTGATCGATTCGATGTGTTTGAGTTTTTTACATCATGTTTCTTGAAGTAAACATAATGAGATACAGTAGATTCGGGTAAAGCTAGGGGTAATATTTGATACCCTTTAATTTCTGTCACAGTCATGGCTTTAGAACAGTTATCTTTCCTATGCTAATCTATGTAAAGCTTCTTTTAGATCGATGGATGGATGACTCGTGAAAGAGTTTTTTGGTTGAGTGTTTTATGAGTCGTGTATTAATGATAAAAATAAATTGCAATTCGATGGGACTGCATATAGTAGGTGTCACTTGCTGGCTACGAATTTTAATGGAAGGATTGGTTGCAAAAACCTTCTGGTATATTTTGATGAAATACGGTCAATATGCTTCCTTCTTGGGAGCTTGATATTGGTTGGAAAATCAATAACAGGAAAGAAATTTATTGGACTAGATAATTTGCTTTAAAATTAGTCGAAATATTGCAAATAACTGGCAATTCATGGTAATATTTATAAGAATTAAATAGACAGGTTGTAAGAGAATTGAATCGACAATAGATAGGGTTATCTCCAGCGGCAGAAAAATCCAACCAAAGGCAATATTCAAATCTGCTTGTTGAGAGGTGATTAATTATCCAAAGTTTAGCCAAACGACATCAGTCAATGCTACGACCTATCTAGAGGCCCACAAATAAAATCATCACCCCTATTCGATTTGGTTATGATGAGACGACTGACAAAGTTATTAACATTGACTATGTTGAGTTTTTAACCCTCAGCATCTGCAGCAATCTTATTTAGATCTCCCGGGCTTTCGTCAATTCCAACCAAGAATTTTGCAACATGTTCTCCACGTGACTAATCTCCTGCATATAAAAATCTCATTGCGATGTCAAAATTTTTTTTAGTAGCTTTGACAATTTCCAATACAAACTTCCCTCATACAATCTCATTTTTCACATATAGCAAGCCAAACTAAAGGGACATCCTAAATTTTAAGTTTTTGGATATAGTAAAAATAATCACAAATGGATAAGGATACATTATTAAAAGCTCTTGCTGGTACATTAGATGCTAACCAGCAAGTCAGAAAACAAAGTGAACAACAATTACATGCATTTGAAGAACAACCAGGTTTCACCTCATATTTGTTAGATTTAATTACTGAAGAAAATATCCAATTGGGTATTCAAATATCAGCTGCGATTTTTTTCAAGAATAGAATTGTTGCACATTGGGTAGTTGCAGAAAATAAACAAGCAACTGCTTTAAGTATCAAAGATGTCGAGAAGGGTGATATTAAATCAAAATTGATTACGACTTTATTCAAGACTTATAAAAATAATCAAATCAAATTACAACTAACAACTGCTTTGAATAACATCTTAGCTGCTGAGAAATGGGAGGAATTGATTGCAATCATTAAGAATTTATTAAAAGATGTTAACGACATTGATCATGTTTATACCGGGTTACTTTGTCTTTACGAATACTCGAAGAATTATAGATGGGCAGGCTTAGAAGGTACATCCAACCCAGTATTAGAAGACATTACTCAAGAAATATTTCCAATCTTACAGAATTTGGCCAATCAAATAATTGAAAATGCCGGGGATAATACTGTTTTCGATGAAATGCTTTATTTAATTATGAAGATATTCAAATTTACCATGTACTCGTATTTACCTTCATATTTCCAGAAAGATACTTCTCACTTAGGTGCATGGTGCCAAATTCATATTCTTATCATCAATAAACCATTACCTAAAGCCGTATTAGAAGAGGAGGATTACGACGTCAGAGCCTTGAACCCTAGAATCAAGGCAGTTAAATGGTGTTTCGCCAATTTGAACCGTTTATTAAGCAGACATGGAGGTGGTGTTCAAACTAAGGATAAGAATGATCCATCAAACCAATTTGCTCAAAGCTTTTTAACCAATTTTGTTCCTGAAATTTTATCTGCATATTGGAAAATTATTCAAGATTGGTCAACTAAGAAAGTTTGGCTCAGTGAAGCTTCCTTATATCATTTAATTTCATTCTTGGAACAATTGGTAGATACTCCTGCTTGGCCATTAGTTGAAGATAAGTTAGATGCAATTGTTAGACATGTCTTGTTACCTACTTTGTCAGCTACTCAAGAAACTATTGAATTATACGAAGATGAACCAGAAGAATATATTAGAAGGTTCTTTGATATTAATCGTGAATCCAACACTTCAGACGTGGCATCAATTAATTTTATTTATAGATTGACTTCCAAGAAGTTTTCTTCTACCATTAATTTAACATTAAGTGTTATCAATGAAGTTTTCACATTAAGAAATGAAAACAGAAACAATTTACAAGTTGCAATGAATACTGAAGGTGTCTTAAGAATGTTGTCTACAGTTGCTTATAGATTAGATCGTAACCTGTCTCCAATAAAAGGTCAAGTTGATAAAGTGTTACATACATTTGTCTATCCAGAATTGTTGACCCAAACTTCATCAACTACTCCATGGTTAACAGCCAGAGCATGTGATACTATTGCCATGTTCCACGGTCATAAATATCAGGACATGTCGGCATTGCAAGATATCTTCCAAGGTATTGTTTTATGTTTCCAAAATGACGCACAATTCCCAATTCAATTAACTGCTGCTGATGCATTAGGTGCTTTGGTAGAAGAAGAATCAGTTGCAGATCATGTTTCACATGAAGCTCCACAATTAATGGGTAATTTATTAGAAAAGGCCAAAAAATTTGAAAGTGATATCTTGACTAATGTTATGGATATCTTTGTGCAAAAGTTCGCTAAGAATTTAGAACCTTATGCTGTCGAATTAGCACGTCAATTGGTCGATTCATTCGTTATATTAGCACGTGAAATGTTGGAACAACAATCAACTGAGGGTACTGAGGATATGGATAAAGTATATCAAGCTGGTGGTATTTTGAGTACTTTGACTACATTACTTATTGCCATGTCGAATACTCCAAATGTTTGTCAATCTATTGAACCAGTTGTAAAGGATATGATTATATTTATTTTTGAGGAAGCGATGATTAATTTCTTATCTGAAGCTGTTGAAATCTTGGAAGCAATCTTATTTAGTGCCAGAGAAGTATCTAATAATATGTGGCAAATTTATCAAGTTGTCGTTGACTGTTTTGATACCTATGCTGCCGATTATTTTTCCATCATTCAACCATTTTTTGAAGGAATTATCAATCATGGATTCGCTAAAGGAGAAATGACAATGGAAAACCCAATGGTTCAATCCTTAATCACTATTTGTTTCAATTTATTAAAGTCAGATACTTTGGATGCAGTGTTTGCTCATTCAGCATTTGAAGATATTGAATTAACAATCTTAGCCATGGGACCAAGATTCCAACAATTCTTGCCTGTTTTCTTGCCAGAAATTTTTGATATTTTTAGTAATTTGGAAGCACAAAATGCATTTGATGGATTCATGTTACATCATTTATCTATTATAAGAGTCTTATTTGCATGTATGTATGTTGATGCTAATACGACTTTACAATTCCTTCAATCAAAAGACTTCATAGCTGGATTTTATAAATTATGGATTAAACATAGTGATGATTTCCAATCAGTTTATGGATGCAAATTACAAATTTTTGCCAGTTGTGCAATTCTTAACTCCCAATCAATTGGATTATTCCCAGAAGAATTGATTTCTGAAACTGTTGACTTGTTATTGGATAACATCGCTGCATTACCAAATGCCATCAGAGCCAAACAACAAATCTTATCCAACGAATCAAGTACTAAACAATTTGCTGAAGGAGAAGACGTAGAAGATGAAGAAGGAGATGAGTATGATAATGCGGATTATGATGAAGATTTAGAAGCAGATGAGGCTGAATTAGAAGCTATGAAACAAACTCCAATAGATGAAGCAAATGCATTTGCTGAGTTTACTACTTTATTAGTGACGATGCAACAACAAGATCAAAACAAGTATAATTTCTTATTTGGATCTCTTGATGATACTAAAAAGGATTTAATTAGTCAATTGATGAAGATTACTCAGAATTAGGGTTATACTGTATAGACTGTATATAAGAAACTAGTTGCTTAATAAGAATAACAATTTCCTCTCAAAGTTTAATTTGTAGTAAGCTCGCCAACCCTTTGGATGGCGGCGAAAAAAATCCACCCAACTCTCAACAGTAATCACCAACTCAACTCTTTCACTTAAATTCAATACAATCAAGTGCATTCAAGATGTTCTCAGGATTCGGCTCTAATATGTTCAGTGGAGGGACATTCCAATCCTCCAACAAATTTGAAGAATACTTCAGATGTTATCCAATTGCCATGATGCCTGATTTGATCAGAAAAGATGATGCCAATTTCGGAGGCAAGATATTCTTGCCACCTTCAGCCTTGAATAAGTTAACAATGTTACATATAAGATATCCTATGTTATTTGAGATTCGTAATGAATCTAAAGATCTAATGACTCATAGTGGTGTGTTGGAATTTGTTGCCGAAGAAGGTAGGGTATATATACCGCAATGGATGATGAGTACATTACAATTAAACCCGGGGTCTTTGGTTAAGATCGCCAATTGTGATTTGAGCTTGGGGAAATTTGTTAAGATTGAACCTCAATCGGTTGATTTCTTGGATATTAGTGATCCTAAAGCTGTTTTGGAAAATGTGTTGAGGAAATTCTCAACCTTGACTGTTAATGATGTGATTGAAGTTAATTATAATGATTCCATATATGGTATAAAAGTTTTAGAAGTCAAACCTGAAAGTTCCAATCAAGGTATTTGTGTTGTGGAAACCGATTTGGAAACGGATTTTGCTCCTCCAGTAGGATACGTGGAACCAGAATACAAACCCACCCAGGTAAATAAACCTTCGTCTGCAACACCAATAGATCCATCAAGTGTTAGCAGAGCAGCGGGTGCTGCCACTATGGCCAAGTCTATAAATTACGCAAATATAGTTGCAGAAGCCTCTCAGGCAAATACTCATAGGTTTGGAGGATCGGGTCAGAAATTAAGTGGGAAAGCTATAGAAGAAACACAAACTAAAAATTATAATATCGAAGAGTTGGATCCAGATGCACCACCAGCTCCATTGCAATTACCTTCTAACCAATTATTCTTTGGATTTCCAGTAGTATTGCCTACCCAAGAAGAAATGGACGGAGAAGGTGCAGATAAAGAAGCTAAAAAAGGAGCAGTATTTGGTGGGGCTGGACAATCATTGAGGCAAAGTAAGAAGAGAAAAGATAAGACTAGCAATTATCCACCGTTAAAAAATCACTCGAGAAGTCCTGATTATATTGAAATAGATTAAGTAGTGACTCTGGAAATGAATTGATGAAATTGACAACAAAGTACTTAAAATAAAATAAATATTCTCTTTAACTTCTATTAATGCATTTACAAACAAATCTATATCATGAATGGGAAATACCCATATTGGGCGGCGGTTGTGGATGGGGAGGGGAGGGTTAACTTATTACACATTAGTAGTTGACGGTAAAAAGACATCATTACCTTGTTCTTCAGCTCTCTTTTGGTGGTAGACAATGTCAGTTGATTCCCATGGGTATGCAATCCAACAATCTGGAACAGTTCTAGCAGCAAAGTAATTGCCAGTCTTCATAATTTCGTCAGGCAAGTCAGCTCTTTTTTGCTTTTGCTTATCATGCAAAACAAAGATTCCAAATTTGGTTGAAGTTGGGTCAACACCTTTGGCCTTGGATTGTTCTTCGACATCCTTTTTCAATTCACTAACAGCATAATGCAAAGTGGTTCTAGTGTCATCAACTTCATCAATAATTAAGATGTTTTTTCCGACCAAGTCAATCTTAGATTGGTGATAATCAATCCATTGAGTTCTAACAACTTGAGTACCTGGGATTTCAATACCATTTCCATTATCAATTTCTTCATATAAAGATAAGATAATGGCCATGATTCTAACGTTGGGCTGACCCGGTTCTTTTAAGAAAGAACGTAACATTCTAGCTGGAATGAAACCACCACCACCGATGGCAATAATTAAATCGGGAGCAAATGCTTTGATTTTATCAGCTGATTCTTGACATAATTGATGGACATTGTTGTATGAAATATACATCTTAGTAGCTTCAACGTCGGCGTCCATTTTTGATGTTTACAAGTTTATTGGTGTTTACAGATAGCAGGGTTTTGAGTTAAAAAGAAGAAGAGAAGAAGAAAGTGAGATCTCTTTATAAAAATCTCAAAACGGAAAAATTCTTCGGTAAAAAAAGAGAAAAGAAAAAAATCTCAAGTTGGAACATCAACAGTTTCTCAGAAACTACCAAGACAAATCGGCCCACTGTACTCCTATATTTGCGAAGTAACTATCACAGCGTGAAGTGACTTATGGCGAGGACTCACTCCAGCTTCTTCTCGGGAAGAATTGATGTTCCGCAAGTACAGCATATCCTATTCGTCTCTGGTTGGAATGGCTCATCGCAAACACTTGTAAATGATGTCACTATTACACAAAATGGCAGGCAACACAAAAGCTGTGCGGCTGCGATCACATGATTCTTTGGTATTTTTTCCGAAGAGTTCATAAAATATTACTCGCTTAAAGTACACGACCATTCACTATATGTTTCGTTGGAAAACCTTTCAAACCAAGCAATTGTTCATATAAACTAGGCAAAATTCCTGGAATTGTGAAGGTAATCCAATCGAACTAAGTAGGAAGCAAGTAGCTACTCAATTGGCCATTGATACTGGGACTTCGTTAATCAATGAAAAGAAGAAAGCTAGCCCCCTCAAGTACTCCTAGCACTCGGGCCATCACCATTGACAGTCTTCCTGACGATGTCCTTTCCGAAATATTTAAACACTTTTCACATATAGAGCTTTTGGATATTCAATTGGTAAACAAAAGATTCTGCAGTATAGCTACTCCACTATTTTGGCACTCCATATATGTTTATGATCCATCTGATGATATTCGTGCAGGACGATGTTGGTTCAACTATACATGGATGAGTATCGACAAATTTTTGGATTTGGCAAGGGCCCGGGAACTTAAAACGCGATTTATGAAAAGATTGGTCTTTTATAGTGATGCGTACATCACCATAGAATAGTTAGAACATTTACAGCAGGAACTAGACGGCTGTTTTATTGGTCTTTCCATCATCAAAGAGATAGAGACTATGCAATGGTATTGCAATACTAAACGAGAACTGTTTGGGACTATCCGTACGGAAGGATTGAATTATCTCTACGTACCAAAGATAGTTATTCGCGAAAACGGGGACCTTCATCTAATTAAGAGTATAAGGATTGGTTCACCAGATCAGGGGTTTTATGATAAATGGTTGCCTCGCTTTAAGCTGTTAAAAGCTCTTCATATCGATAATCCGAGAATGTTCAAAGCTGAAAAAAAGATTTGTCTTACACATCTATTTCTTGGCCGAACAGCTGGAGGAAAGAAGAATACGGCCATCCTTGAAAATTTTGACCTACGGAAATTAGAATCATTACTGATTCCAAGAGTGAATTCGTCGAAATGGGCTAAGCTAAGTCAGTCCCTATTCTGCATTAAGGAGATCCAGCTTCGGAATACAATACAGCATTTGCCCTATTATGCTCTCAGAGAAGTTCATTATATGACGAATATTCCCGAGAAGGACTTCGTTTACTTGTTCCGCCATCCAATAAGTTATTTATCTATGAAGCGTACAACCAATGAAGATGAGGACGACGAGGATGAAGATGAAGATGAGGATGAAGATGAACATGAAGATGACGATGAAGATGATGAGGATGATTATTATTATGGTTATGGTTCTAAGCGATCAGATTGGAAATTAAGTCGATTGGATACGTTGAAAACTTTAAAACGATTGAAAATAGATAACAAGAAATATTACGTTGTCAAATCAAACGGGAAGACGGATTACATTGAATTTGACAATTTCTTGTATGAACCCTAATTTTTCTGGTCGATAGTGTAAGTCTTGTCACCGTCTCTTATTTATATAGCAGAATCTCACGATTTGAACCTTTTGATTAGAACTCCCGTCGCCGAGATTTGAGCCTGACACTTCAGGTTATCGAACTACGCTCCAAAAACTATATATTGCGCTTATCTTAAGAATATTTTTTTAACACGATCCCCGCTCGCAAAGCACGAATATCGTGAAGATAATTAAAGTGGGCTGAGACCACTCAAAAGCTCGAACGTCATGAATCAAATCGGCGGAGACCAGGAAAGGCATCGTATATAAATATGAGATTAACAGATTCCCTTCAATTCTACAAAGAGTCAATTGCTTCATATTCAGAAACTAATAACTTCGGGACTTATAACAGTATGCCTAATTAATCGACGCAAAAATCAACAACATGCGTAATACTGAAAATAATTCGTTGATTGACCTTCCTGACGAAATACTTCTACCGATTTTTCAATCCTTGTCAGCTATTGAACTTGCAGAACTTCAATTGGTGAACAAAAGATTCAATAATCTAGTTACCCCTTTATTATGGAAATCCATATATGTTTACCGTTCCTCCAAGGAAGTAAGAGCTGGACTGTGTTGGTTTGACTATTGGTGGATGAGTTTGGATACATTTTTGGGTTTGGCAAGATCTCAAAAACTTAAATATAAGTTTATGGAAAAGATAATATTCTATAGTGATCATTACTTATCAGTGGAATGGTTCAAGTGGTTGAAAAGAGAAATACCACAGTGTTGCATAGGATTTTCGAAAATAACTAAACAAGCTACCATGAGATGGCGTTGTGAATGTGACATGGCACCCACCATTCGTTGGACGTGGCTTAATTATTACTACTTGAAAGGACCGGTCCAATATCAACCTGAAGAGCCACATATTTATACAAGTATAAGAATTGAATCGCCTGACCAAAGTTTTTATGATAATTGGTTGCCCCTTTTCACTCTGTTAAAAGCACTCTATATTGACAAACCCAGTCCATTCTATGTGAACAAAAAGATTTGTTTAACCCATCTATTTCTTGGAAATGCAACAACTTATGGAGTGTCTGTTAATACTTCAATCCTAGAGAATTTTGATTTACTGAGCTTGGTGTCATTACTGATCCCTGAGGTGACTTCTTGGAAGTGGGTCCAACTAAGTCAACTGCTTTTTGCTATCAAGGAAATCCAGCTTTCCAATTCAATTAAAGATTTTCCATTGTATTCTCTCAGAGAACTTCATTACCATTGTGATATCCCAAAAGAGGACTTCAAGTTTCTACCTCGCCATGAGATAACTTATTTATCTGCGTATCCGACCAAGAATAACAATGGTACTTATACGCCTAACCCTCCCAATCATAGATCGCGGCAGAAAAGAACATGGGATATGAACCAATTGGATAACATGAAAAAATTACGAAAATTGAAGCTTGATAATTTGAAATATCAGGTGGTTAAGACATATTTTAAAACATTATACGTTGAAATACCTACTGGTTAAATAAGAAAATGAAAATTGTCAAATTTGTCTCCAAAGACGTCTAGAGTATAAGCCTTGTTTATATATTTATATTAAATGCAAAGTTTGTTAAGACAATCCTACCTCTTGTAGATTCAGTTTTAGAATCGGGTAATAAATGTGCTTCATATCACATAGACCAGTAAGTCGATCCCAATCCGTTTACTCTCTTCTGTTGCTCCGCATGTGGAGTTTATAGTGTTGCAACTTTTTTTGCAGCCACAATGAACATTTTTCATGCGGCAAAAAATGATGTACTGATACCTACATTAGACGAATACAAGTACGTCGGCTCCTATGAATGGTTTCAAGGGAGACAGGTTAATGGGGGCTTAAAAAATGATACATCCTAGTTAACACTGGCAGAACCGTACCTTGTGTTTCTGGTACCTTTTAGGTACGACGACGAATTAGGGACAGAAGTTACATGTGTAAAGACAGATGAAATAACGAGTTAATACAAATCTTGAGGGCAATAATCCAATTAGATCGTTAGGCACCGAAGTCATATTGCTTGAATATAAAATATTACAGATATTGAACCAACACGCATTATATATTATAAGAAGAATTAATCTAAAAGGAATACAGCATTCATTCATTCATTCTTGTTTGATGAACCCTGTCTTAGGTTGCCAAGATTCCTCGTTTATATAAAAGAATTCTATCATTTGCAATTACTATTGGAATTTCGCCTGAAGCAGGTAGGATCCCATAAATTCGAAAGATGCAACCAGGTAATAAAAAGGGCATTACAGGGCCATCATAGGTGGTGTCTACCTGTATCAGGATTACCCGCACAAAGCCTTTGAGATCACGCACAAACAAAACTTTATTAAATCATCCAAACAATTGTTCAAGAAGTGAATTCCGGATTCGAGCAAAAAGTACATCAACATACATCCAATACGTCGAAAGATATCGAGTGTTTACAACCCATTGACTCATTTATTCCTTTTAAGCTATTGATGGACGAGAAAAACGGCAAAATGTGTAAGGCTGGACATGATTCCTTGAACGACTTGCCTGACGAACTACTTCTACGAATATTTAAAACCTTATCGCCTATTGAACTTTTGGAACTTCAATTGGTAAACAAAAGGTTCAATGATCTAGTTACTCCTTTGTTATGGCACTCCATATATGTTTATGATTCCTCTAAGGAAGTTAGGGCTGGGCGGTGTTGGTTTGACTATTGGTGGATGAGTATGGGTACATTTTTACATTTGTCAAGATTGGGAAGACTTAAAACTCAATTTATGAAAAAATTAGTATTTTGGAGTGATGAGCGTATGTCGTTGGTATGGTTACAGAGGTTAAAAGAGCGTCTTTCCGAGTGTCAAATAATGTTCTCTAAGATGTCCCAATTGACAGTCTTTCAGTGGTTTCTCAAGACAAAGAACTTCCGAATTACAACTGTTCGTTGGAATGGATATGAGAACATGTGCATTCCATCTGACGGAATTATTGGTACATTTTCCAAAGATATAGATCGAATTAGGAGCATCAGGATCGGACATATAACTCAAGAATTCGTGGCAAACTTGCCGCATATGACACTGTTAAAATCGCTTCATATTGACCACCCCAGTGTGTTCGAAGTGCAGAAAAAGATTCGTGTATCCCATCTAGTCCTAGGACATTCATCAATGTCTACTAATTCGCATAATCTACAGAACTTTGATTTGGTGACATTGGAGTCCTTACTGGTTGGGGAGATTGAATCATCAAAATGGGAGATGCTAAGTCAGGAACTATTCTGCATCAAGGAGATCGAGCTTCAGAATTCAATAAAGTATTTGCCATATTATTCTCTCAGAGAAGTTCATTACTTAAAGGGTGTTCCCGAGGAAGACTTCAGATTCTTATCTCGCCATGCCATAATCTTCATGTCAGCAAATCCCGATAAGCCAGAGAAGAAGAATGAGACATACTCATATTACCAAGAACCAAAAAGACAGAAAATGGATGTATGGGACATAAATCGATTGAACCACATAAAAACTTTACGGAAAATAAAGGTCGGCGATTTAAAATACAGAATTGATAGATTGAACGGAACCACCAAGTATATTGAAATTTATGATGATTGAATATAGTTAATTGTGTAGAATTTGTTCACGGACCGGATTGGAACTCGATTTTCTATAGATTATAGACACAACCAATTATGATCAAACTTGAGTCATTAGATTCTAAAATACTTCATCTTGCTCGTTTAACCCGAGAAATCGCATATACAAAAATGCTACCATTTATAAGTACAATATCAGAAATTTGATGTAGATAAGAACTTAGCATCTGGAAAGCTAAAAATTGGAAAATGTCTCATGAGCCCTACAATTTTATGAGGAATCTCTCGTTTTTCTTTTGTTACGAATAAAATGAAAAAAAAGGTTCTAGAACTTTTATTGCCATCAACGAACTACTTACCCAACCACCAATAGTCATCCACTCATTTTGTTAGTTTTACACTGTTGTACAATGTTAAGAAGTAGTACAACGCTAAAGAGTTGTCGTTATAATCAACTTCACAGATTTTTTTCCAAGGCAGCAACTGATGCTTCTGTTCTTAGAAAATATCCCATTGGATTAACAGTTCATGGATTTGAAATCAAACAAGTTCAACCAATTCCTGAATATTCTATAGTGGCTGTTAATCTTAAACATCAAAAAAGTGGTTCTGAACATTTACATGTAGATGCTACCAATGATAATAATAATGTATTTCTGATTGCTTTTAAAACTAATCCACCTGATCATACCGGTGTTCCTCATATTTTAGAACATACAACATTATGTGGGTCTGAAAAGTATCCAGTTAGAGATCCATTTTTTAAAATGACTAATAGATCTTTGAGTAATTTTATGAATGCTATGACTGGTCATGATTATACTTACTATCCATTTGCCACTACAAATGCAAAGGATTATGAAAATTTGATGGATGTTTATCTTTCTTCAGTATTTGAACCACAACTTAATTATAACGATTTTCTTCAAGAAGGTTGGAGATTGGAAAATGAAGATGTTAATGATATTGATAGTAAGATTACTTTTAAAGGAGTTGTCTATAATGAAATGAAGGGTCAATATTCAAGTTCTGAATATTATTTTTATATAAAGTATATGGAATCAATTTATCCATCATTAAATAATTCTGGTGGTGATCCAATTAGTATTACAAAATTATCATATGAAGATCTTTTAGAATTTCACAGTAAGAATTATCATCCTTCCAACTCAAAAACTTTCACTTATGGTAATTTACCTTTGGATAAACATTTACTTACATTAAATCAATATTTTACTAGATTTGGCATTAGAAAACCAACTGTTGACGTCAAATATCCTATATTTGAGAAAACTCCAACCCAAACAACTTTTGAAACAACATTACCTGGTCCAGTTGATTTAACAAGCGGTAAGGACATTTCTTCACAGTATCAAGCTTCAGTGACATGGAGAGTAGGTAATCCTTTAGGAAAAGATATGCCATATGTCAATTTCAAATGGGCTATTCTTAGAGCATTATTGTTTGATGGACATAATTCTCCATTTTATCAAGAATTGATTGAAAGTGGATTCGCTGAGGATTTTTCTCCAAATTCTGGTCTCGACGCAACCACTGCTTTACTTTCATTCACAGTTGGTCTTAATTTCTTAACTAAAGAAAGAGTCCAACAATTAGAATCAAAAGTTTTGGAAATTTTGAATAAAAAGGTAATTCCTGAATTAGAGAACCCTCAGAGTAATTATAATGATAGAATTAAAGCTATTGTTCATCAAGTTGAATTATCCTTCAAGGAACATAAGCCTAATTTTGGATTTGGATTATTAAATTCAATAGTGCCCACTTGGCTAAATGGAGCAGACGCAGTTAAACAATTACAAATTGAAACTATTTTGAACCAATTCAAACAAGATTTCGCCAAAGATGGATTAAAAATTTTTAAACACTTACTTGAAGAAACTTTGTTAAATCCACTGACTCAGAGATTTAAATTCACAATGGTACCAAATGAAAATTTCTCCAAAGAATTAGTTGCGGAAGAAGCGAATCGATTACAAACACAAGTTGATAAATTATCTCCAGAAGATAAAGAAAACATCTATAAACGTAATCTCGACTTGGCTAAAGCGCAAGCAGAAGAACAAAATGAGGATGTTTTACCGACATTAACCATGGACGATATTCCCCCAGGTGAACAATTTCCATTGAACCATACAAAAGTAAACAACAAGATCTTGCATGAAAGAATCGTCGATACCAATGGATTGGTGTATGCCTATGCATTAAAGAGTCTTGGAAATTTACCTATTGAAATGCATAAATATCTTCCATTATTCTGTAGTTGTTTGACAAATCTTGCTGGTACCACCAAAACTTCAATCACTGATCTCGAGACTCAGATCCAAATGCGTACCGGAGGTATTTCATTCGATTATAGCATTTCCCTGAATCCTTATGATATCTCTGATGTGGGATTAAACTTTTATGCCAGTGGAGTCGCGTTAAAAGAAAATGCACAACATATCTATAATTTATGGTATGAAATCTTGTCTGGAACTAAGTTTGATGTTGATGATGAAGTTGTTTTGGATAAATTATTCACTTTAATCACAAAGATGGGACTGAACCAAATTAGTAATATTTCTGATAGGGGTCATTCATATGCTATGCGTGCAAGTTGCGCCAAATTGACTCCCGGGGGTTACATTGGCGATGTAACTAGTGGAATTGGCCAGGTAGAATTTATTATGGAGATGAATTCCAAGCTTGGATCCTTAGGGAAAGACTATTTGAAAAGTGAAATATTACCGGTATTGAAAAAGATTCAAGAATATTTATTAAAGAATGATGGTGAATTTAGATATAGATTAGTAGGTGATGATGAGATTATTAAAGAGAATGAAAAATTGCTTGAATCATTTGATGAAAAAATTTCATCGTCAGGAAAAGGTATGAAGAGCTTAATAACTAATTCATTAGCAAAACTTTCTTTTGGTAGTACCGACCAAGACAAGGAAGGATTACAGCGTTTGTTAGCTACGATGAATTCAGCACCCATTAAAGATGGAAAAACATTGCTCAATCTTCCATTCCAAGTCGGACACGCATCTTTATCTAAACGTGGTGCTTCTTATGATTCCAGGGACGGTGCCGCGTTACAAGTATTATCCCAACTATATACTTTCAAACACCTTCATTCCAAAATCAGAGAATCTAACGGTGCGTACGGTGGTGGGTTGACATATGATGGATTAGGAGGGATTTTGAGTTATTATTCATACAGAGATCCAAACCCAGTGAAATCAATTGACACCTTTGTGGAATCGTTCCCATATGGATGTCAAACCAATTGGGGAGATAAGGATTTGCAAGAAGCTAAGTTACGAATTTTCCAGAGTTTGGATGCACCAATTAAGATTTCAAGTCAAGGAGCTGGTGAATTTTTTCAAGGAATTTCGGATGAATTAAGACAAAAGAGAAGAGAGAACTTGTTGAATGTTACTAGCAAGGATCTACATGAAGTTACTCGAAAGTACTTGATTGATAATCCTACGAATGTATCTACTGTGCTTGGTGACAATGAGATTCTTAAGGTAGGCAAAGACTGGGAGGTTAAAACTTTGAACTCGAATTTGTCATAGTTCTTGTGCATAGATGTTAGACTAGACTTAACTCCAAATTGTATATAGAAAATAACATGCAAAACAAGATAGACATTAAGAATCGTAAATTTATTCTTAAATAAAAACCTCTTCTGTATTTGGAAACAAAATTACCAAGAATACCCCAGGCGGCATTAGTTTATACAAAATAAGTCACCCGCCGTAGGAGACGCATCTACCAGTTCTAGTGCAATCCTTCTTTGGAAGCATTTCAGGCACAAGCAATCCCTTAGATTTCCATCAGTGGAATAGCACTATTATATAGCTAGCCACATAAATCTCATACCTTGATTAGAAAGGACTACAAAGAGAGAAATTACACAGATTATGGAATAATCAGAAATGATCCAAGAACAAAACAATGGAATACTGGAATTATTATTCCTTCAAAATGAATCGTGATTTACGACACCAATACGTTCGTTCAATTTAAGAATTGTAATATTTGTTAGTACTGTGAGGAACCGGCCGGACCTATTGGCCTAGACAGGTGTACTGTAACCTCAAATGGACGGACAAGGAAATAGGAAGTTTATGGTGAGTTGACTTATAAATTGTATCTTATATCTGTTCGATTATTGTATATCGGAGCGCGTATCGGAATAGTAATATGCCGTACCTTCTCGGATTATAATTCCCGAACATGGAAAGTTCTTCTCTCATCTTCGATAATGTTCCATGGCCATCGAGAGATGATCTAGAGAAGAATATAAATAGACAGGGATTTTCCCGGTCTATTAGGAATGTAAGGGAGGGGGGCAAGGATTTTTTCTATATATTTTACATATTATTACTTAGTTAATACCATATTATTTTGTTTGCTTAGAAGATCCAAACTGCAACTTTATTAGATTACAAGTCAAATGGCGTTAAACAATGAAACTAATGACAAGATGGATATTGATCCACCTGCTGCTGATTCATCTACTGTTACTCAACAAGATGCTGCTGCTGCTGCTGTTGCTGCTGATGTTGGTCAGACTCAAAATCTGAGTCCTTATTCCGATGAACGCAGACATCAATCTGCTCCATCCAATCCATCTAATGAATCTGTTCAGATTCCTGGACCACCCAACTATCCAAAATCAAGTAATGCCGCTAACCTTGATGAACTTCTTAAGTTGCAACAACTTAAGCAAATTTGGAGAGCAAATGCTTCTGCAAACATTGAATCTGCATTTAGTCACTTTAGATTCAAGAGTGATGATCTTGCTGGTCACTCTGAAGTTGTTGAAACTGGGTTGAAAGCATTTAATGGATTTAAAGATTACTGTCTTAATCCAGAATTAGTTATTGCTGCTCCTACTCAGTATGTGAGAGGAATCGATTTTATGGGTGATCCCAAATATGACAAAGAAATGTTGGAGATTGCTGATAGGTTGATGGTAAATAAGGTTTTACAGTATGGTTCCTTAGCTTCGAAAGTCGCTCCTCGAGGCAAGACTATCACCATGAAGGATATCCTCGATTACATCGAGAAGTACACCGCCATGTCGTCCGATAGTATTGCCAAGAGAAGACTCGATAGCTTCTGGGATCATATTGAAAAGCTGATGAAGGAACTGTGTTTGGGATTGATTGAGTCAGATACACTCTCTTTCCAAATCACATGTCCAATGGACAACTTCTTGACGAAGCTTGATCCAAGGATCATAATTACTTATGGTTTCCTTGAGAAGGGTAGTAGTCAAGTTGCCATGTGTCGAATTCTTGGTAAAGAGTTTACTAAGTGGGAGAAAGATCCTACTGGGTACTCAGTTATCACTCCTGTTGAAGTTGCTAAGTTGTTGAATGCAGACAGAAACTTTTCGAGACGTTCAACTGGTACTTTTAGTTCTGGTATTGACAAGTTTGCCTCCAAGGACGAGCTTAACAGTGTCACTACTAAAGGCCAAAGAAACTCGAAACCTGAAAACAATTCCAACGGCAGCAACAACAACAAACTCAATACTGCTGGTAATCGTGTTGTTAAGAAGAGAAGAAATAGGAAGAAGAAGAAGAATGGGGTGAATCCTAATGATATTCCTTTATCCAAGTTGAATATCTCTCTGGACCAATAAGGGTTCGGAGGTCATTACTCCGGTAATGGCATCGCCACATTCACTATGCTTCAACGTATCCTCTTCTTAAAACTGATTAAACTGAGAATTACCATTCGTGAATTGGAAGGTAAATGGATCAGAAATTCTATTAAGTTTGATTCTGGTGCTACTAGTAGTGTCGTTGGTAACAAGGACTTACTTAGTAACTTCTGTGAATCAACTGGAAAGAAGTTCTTCTTGCCTGACGGTTCGTTTGTTAGTTCCGGTGGAGTTGGTGAGTTAGAATTGAAAACAAAAGGTTTTAGGACGGTGTTGCGCGATGTTCACTTTATTCCGGATCTTAAGGTTAATTTGGTCTCGGTTGGTAAACTAACTGATAATGGTTATTATGTAGGTTTTAGTAGTAACTTTCTATACGTACATATTAATAAACAAGACCGTTTAAACAGATCTTATCGAATAAAGCTTGGATATCGTTCACCAATCAGTCAGCTCTACATTGGTTATCCCAATGGTATTAAAGAGTTGCAAGACGAAGAACCTGAAGTAGACGATTCATATATCTACTCCATATCAGACCTCGGTATTGAACAAGTCGTTGCTGATGTTTTCGGTAAGAAAGACTTGTACTATTATCATTTGGTAGGTAACCATATGTCGCTAACCAAATTAGAAAATTTAGTTCGTCATAAGAAGATTAATGTGCTGATAAAGGACAAGGAAGCTAGACGGAAGGTATCATCGTGTATTATTTGCAAACATTCAAATAGTAGACAGATATCACACAATTCAAAGACTCAGATACCTCCTACCCGAAGGTTAGAAAGAATTCATTCTGACACCATGGGTCCTATGATTGTGGATTCCGAAAAGCAGTACTTAACTACATTGATTGACCATTTTACTGGTTATACAATTGTGGTTATACATCCAATCAAAGCCGTTGCTGATACTATTATGATCGAATTAAAGAAACTCAATTCTATGTTTCCCGGAGAAATGATTCACGCTTTTAGATCCGATAACGCAAAAGAATTGCCTAGCAAATCTCTTTTGGCAACGTTGGGTATTGTTAAAGAAGTTATCCCTCCTTATTCACCTGAAATGAATGGGTTGGCAGAATCGCACAACCGTGTTATCCTCAGGAATTTACACAAGTGCATTATTAACTTCCCCAACAGGTTCAAAGAAGTGCTATCACTCTTTCGTGAATTGGTTGGTTACACTGTCTATATTAAAAATCACACACCTTGTGATCGTGATCCATCAAGGCCTGGTTGGACACCTTATGAGTTGTTTATGAACGCTAGATTTACTCCAAATTATTGGCAATTTGGTTTAGATGTTATTGTGACTCTCCTGAATTCCCAAGAAGCAAAAGGATTGAAGGTGGAATATAACAAATTATTTCCTCCAACACTTCCTGGCGTTTTCGTCGGATATGGGACAGATTCCAATAGTTATCGAATTCTAGTACTACATGAGGATAATCCAATCAAGACTTTTGTGAATGTTACATTCCTTAATACTATGAAGAATATTGAAAAATATTTTCAAAGTTTAGATGGTTTTAGACAGGTAGAACTGATAGTGAATGGTGAGAACTACAGATATCTCGGAGACGCTAGTCGCAAGGATTTCTTTACTCCCATCGATCCTGAAGTTGAGAACGAGGTTGAGTCTCCCTATGACACAGGAGACAAAGCTTCGGTAGATGCTAAGGCCACTATTCCAGAAACCGCTAGTAATAGTGCGAATGCTTCCAGATCATCACATACTCCCATTGCTAGTACGACTAGTATGCCCACAAGTGGCAGTGTGGTGTTACCTGTTCAGGCACCGTCTGATATACAGACACCGTCTGATGGAACTATGGCAAAGCAATCCAATCTACCTACTACAGGACCGCTTACTGATTTACCTGCTCTCATGGAGAAATATCCTGATCGAGTTGAGCAAATCGTAAGGGAAAAACCAGAATTGTTCAGTTATCTTAGAAAAGGACTGAAACCTTCTCTGAATCATCTGTCAAATGATAAGGAAAAGGTGGTAGATAATCAAACTACTCATTCTGGGGAGCAAAGTACCTTAGCGGCGAGTCAACTGCAACCAATCATGTCCCATCACAAACACCTCCTGACAGTTGAACAAAATGGAGAATTGCAAGTTCAACCTTCCGACAATTCAACATTGACTTCATCTGAACGGGATACTACCGAGTTGCCACATTCTGAAGTCAATGGGGGAGCATCCGAACTGCGAAAGGAAGCAATTCCACCAAGTGGACGAGTGTTAGTCTCTCCTACGACTCAGGATGGCGAAAGGACTGAAAGAGAATCAGCTGGTGGTCCAACACTTTCAGTTGAAGTTGGAAGAATTAATGACGAGTACAGCTTGAATCCTTCAAGAGAAGAAATCGTTAATTCTTACACTCAAGCTGGACGTGCCAGCACTCTCAAGGGGAGAAAACGTGGATTATCTGATGCATCTGAAGAAAGACCTGTCAGAAGATCAGCCAGACTAGCTGGTAGAATTTCTAAACCTCCTGAATCCATCAATAACTTAAGAGTGGTTGATGAGCTTATTCCAATTAGAAGAAACATATTCAGTGTTATGTCCTTCGACGACCCTCTGGGTGAACCTGAAAATTGTGCTTATGGAGTCGTATCTAATATAGACTACGACGATCCAAACTGGAAGAAGGCTATGAGATCGGAGATTCAGAAGTTCGTTGAGATGGAAGTCTTTGATGTCATCAAACCTCCTAAAGGTGTAAGGCTTATTCCAGCCGTTTGGGTACACACATACAAGGAGGACGATCCAAAACAAGAATATCACAAATCACGATGTGTTGTTCAAGGCTTTAGACAAGTAGCAGGAATAGAATTTGATCCTGAACGAGTTCTGTCACCAGTTACTGATCTAACTTCTATAAGAATCCTCACCGTTATAGCCGTAGAGCTTCAAATGGAGATTCACCATATTGATGTCAAGTCTGCCTACTTGAATGCAGTTCTCCCAAAGAACACCCCTATCTTTGTCCGTCCACCAAAAGGCTTCAGAAAGGATGACAGAGGTAGAGAAGTCTGTTGGAAATTAAATAAGGCTGTATATGGTCTCAAACAAGCTGGATTTGAGTGGTACGTTCATATTACTAAGACCTTCAAAGACTTAGGGTTAGAACAATGTGGTGAACATGAGGGCTTATATGTACTCAAACAGAATAGTGATAAAGTCTATGTTGCTTTATACGTAGATGACCTATTCGTGGTTGCTTCCAACAATGAGATCTTCAACGACTTCATGAACAAGTTGTCTTCTCGATTTAAATTGAATTATATCGGTCCAATCCTGGAGTACTTGGGTATTGAATTCAGAAGAACATCCGAAGGATATGTGCTTACCCAAGAGAAGTTCATTAATAGACTTCTCAAAGCGGTTGAATCGCAAGTTAAGACATCCTCTGGTATTCCTCGTTCTCCTGATGACAAAACCAAGGAAAAGAGAGTTATAGTCGCTGGAAACAAAGACGAGTCCTTTTACATCACAAAGGATGAAGAACTCTTGGATGTCGAGGAACATAATTTATATCGAAGACTTGTTGGTCTGTTACAATGGATCACACAGAATACTTGTCCACAGATTTCGTATGCTGTTAATGCTCTTGGAAGAAAGACTGCTAATCCTAACAAAGCTGATCTCAAACACCTTATACAATGCTTGAAGTACCTTCGTGGTAATAGAGATCTCAAGCTTGAGTATTCTCGTTCAAGAACTAAGCTGATTGATGATAACTTTGTATTGCATGTCTTTGTTGATGCTTCTTTTGCTCCTGATGGTGACAGGCATTCCATTTCTGGATTTGTCGTCTATCTCAACGGTAACCTTATCTATTGGGGGACCAAGAAACAAAAGAGCATTACCCAGAGTTCTATGGCTGCTGAACTCATCGCCCTTGGTGAGGGTGTCGATAGAGCTTCATCTGTGAGAAGTATTGTTCATGCTGTTGGATTCAAAGCACCTCATATCACCGTATTCGAGGATAATCAACCTGTTGTGAAGATCACACACAACAAGAAGATTTCTGCTAGTCGAAGACTGGTTGACATCTGCCTCAAATTTATTAGGCAAATGATCCTTGAAGACAAGAAATTGTCTGTCGTTTGGGTTGATACTAAGAACAACGTTGCAGATTTATTTACCAAGGCCTTATCTTATCCTACATTCCGCTTGCTTACACCAATGCTTGTCGATGGTAACTTATCAGTCGTTAGGAGTGTTATTAAGAAATGCTTGGAAGCCGATGGTTCATCTTTCGATAATCTAAACAGTGAAAGTTCTAATCATAGCTCAGAATTGAACTTTATCCTGTCCAGTATAGATCTCGAAGAATTTTTCATTGATGAGACCATAAACTAACTGACTTGAAGTTACAGTGATCGCTTGAGATAAGTGTCGAAAATCGTTGACACCCTTGGCTGCAAAATGTTGTAGAGGAGAGCCCGAGTGGCGCTACCTTATACTGTTGTTCCATCTCAAATGGGAACCTATTATAAACTGGTCTGACATTGCATTTTCTTACTGATTTCCCGATGTCTGTCCACCCCTAACAGGTTCCAGGGGAGTGTTCGATTATTGTATATCGGAGCGCGTATCGGAATAGTAATATGCCGTACCTTCTCGGATTATAATTCCCGAACATGGAAAGTTCTTCTCTCATCTTCGATAATGTTCCATGGCCATCGAGAGATGATCTAGAGAAGAATATAAATAGACAGGGATTTTCCCGGTCTATTAGGAATGTAAGGGAGGGGGGCAAGGATTTTTTCTATATATTTTACATATTATTACTTAGTTAATACCATATTATTTTGTTTGCTTAGAAGATCCAAACTGCAACTTTATTATAATCTTCTGGGTAGAATAACAAAAATGTTGCAGAATTTATTGATTTTAAATCAAAAACTATTCCAGAAGCAAGTTACCTACAATACTTGAGACAACCAATTGCGGAATAGAAGAGAATATCCAAAACATTGCAACGTCCCGCGCTTTTTTAACTCTGTATCCGACTTTGTTCAAGTTAGCTAATTAATTGTTTATTGACGCCACGCAATACCCAACAAGATGACCAATACTGAACACCACTCGTTGAACGACTTACCTGAAGAAATACTTCTACAAATATTTAAATATTTGTCACCTATAGAACTTTTGGAACTTCAATTGGTAAACAGAAAATTTTGTGATATAGTAACTCCATTATTATGGCGGTCAATATATGTCTATGATCTAGCTGATGATGTAAGGGCCGGTAGGTGTTGGCGCAGCTACTGGTGGATCAGTATGGGTACATTTTTGCATTTGGCAAGATCTAGAGAGCTTAAAACTGAATACATGAAGACCTTGGTATTTTGCAATGATGACTACGTATCCTTGGCATGGTTAAAGAAGTTAAAGGAACTTTGCGGGTGCCGCATCATTTTTTCCCGAATTATCAACTTGGAGGTTTATCAGTGGTTCTTGGGTAGTGCGTACAAACAAAATCTGGGGTTTGTGTTGTATACTGAGGGATACCAATATATCGTAAAGGGAGGACCTGACGGCTACCCGAATATGAGTCTATTAAAGAGTGTAAGAATAGATACTCCTCTTCAAGAATTTTACGACAACTTGCCGAATATGACCCTGCTCAGGTCTCTTCACATTGAAAATCCCGCTCAGTTCACATTGGAGAAAAAGATTTGCTTAAAAAATCTTTGTATTGCCCGTAAAAACTGGAACTATCGTGTTTCTATTCATCTCCTTCTACAGAATTTTGAATTGTCGAGCTTGGAATCATTGCTGATTCCTGAGGTTGAATATGTCGAATGGCGCAAGCTAAGTCAGGAACTATTCTCTATCAAAGAAATAGAACTCCAGAATTCAATAGTCCATTTGCCATTCTACTCCCTAAGGGAAGTTCATTACCTGAGAGGTATTCCCCCAGAAGACTTCAGGTTTCTATCACGGCATTTAATAACGTACTTATCAGTGGCCTCTTTGGGCGAATATGATTTGCATCGATTGGATAAAATGAAAACTCTAAAAAAAGTAAAGGTAGAAAAGAAGAAATATCGAGTGAATAAAACGAAAGGTATAACAAAGTATATTGAAATATTCAATGATTAAATAATTACTCCTGTGAAATCTCTATCCCCGACTTGAAGTGTATATATAATAGTTAAAATGGTTACGAAAATCCAACTTTTCTCATATTTAATGCTAAAACCTCGCCCTAAATCAGCTTCGACGCGTGTAGATCAATATGTCGATACAATCATAAAGCGAATACTTTAAGTTTAAGATTCTGTTCTGTGCTTTTGTATGCTAATTTTACAGAGCAATCTTTGGAATTTTCGCAGCCAAAACGACACATTTTTCAGCGACCATAGTCCACTAGAACCTTTGAGTGTGACCTCCTGGTATGAACGTGTTTGGTCGACTCAAAAAATTCTACATGAAGCGCCGTTTTTATTGATTTGTAGCCGAGGAAGAAGAAACCCTCACTTGTAGTGCTGGCTTTTTGAACTGTCTTGTAAGATCAAGACCAGTTCAAAATGAAGTGCATAGGAATTATACCCACAAAAATCACTAAATAGAAGCACACCTATAGTGCAAACAGGATATCACAGACAAGGGTAAATATCACGAATAACTAAAATTAAAATAAACTATAAATAGAACTTCACATTCATCATAGAAGAAAGCAAAACTAATTGGCATTCAATCTCCAATAACCTTAACTACAAGCTTTCCTTTTGCAGAATGCTCCTCTAACTTCTCAAGTGCCTTATCAAACTCATCAAAGTTATAGATATGATCAATCGGAATGTCAATTCCACCATCTTCAATATATTTACATCCTTTCTCCATCCAGGTAGGATCATTGGGAAGCAAGCCTAACCAATACTTATATCTCGACAAGTTCAATTTCGACATAGTCATCCTATAAAATCCCATAAACGTCGCGCACATGAGCACTCCACCACTGCTACCGGAGTAGTCTCCTACAATTGTTTTATAATAACCACCTCGTTTTATGATAGTATTCATATGTTTAAACAATTCATTCCCTCCCCAACAGTCAATAATATGATCAAATTCGCCAGTTTCTTTAACAGATTCCAAAACAGGATTTGCAATGTTTTTATGGGCTTTATAGTCGATAATAGAAGTAGCACCGTATTTAGTCAAAATTTCACGAGATGATTGTGAACAGGTTACCACCACTTCTTTGGCCTTCTCAATATGCAAGATCTGAGTAAGGAACCTCCCAACCGTGGTCCCTCCACCTAACACGAGAATCTTCTTCCCTTCTAGTTCCAATCCGCTAGCTAATGTTATCGCAGTTCCAAAAACCAAAGGCCATGCAGCGGCTTGCAACGGGGTGATATTGGATGGAATTGGGTGGAATACAAGTTCAGAAGGCAGGACCAGGAAATACTCTCCGACTGTCCCATCTGCGAATGTTCCAGGATAGAAACCTTGAATGAATTCCCCAACCTTAACATTTGTGATTTTGGATCCAACAGAAACAACCTCCCCCGAGAAATCTCTTCCAATTCCAATATAAGGACCAGCGCGCGAGAAATAAGCTAACAAAGGGAAGGCTACTTGACGCAATTTGATATCGACAGGGTTTAATGCTGCATAATGAATTTTGATTAGGATTTTATCATCAGGGATAACATAGGTAGGTGTGCCGCCTTCCAGGGTTGAAGGAGATGGTACCAATTTGAGCTGTTTGGTGAATTGAACAACAGGACTGTTACTGTTCTTATAACCGTACGCTTTGTATGATAGTTCAGGTGTTGTGAATTGCATTTTGGATTAGTCTTGGCAGTATTATCAATCCAGAAGCAATTAATTAAAAAAAATGGGAAACGTCTTAAATATATTTGCCCCTCGAGAATAAGCCCCCATTTTTTTCGGAATGGGAGAAGAGGCAGGAATCAGCCGCTCCGCGATTTCTTTTAAACCAAATCCTGTTTCACGTTTAAAACCACGAATTTATCCGTCCCGATGGGTCTGCTGTTCGATTATTGTATATCGGAGCGGGTATCGGAATAGCAGTATACCCTGCCTTCTCGGAGTATAATTCCCGAACATGGAAAGTTATTCTCGCATCTTCGATAATGTTCCATGGTCTTCGATATGTGATTTAGGGTAAGGCTTTTTCTATAAATTCTACATAGTATTAATTAAGTTAACACGATATTACTTTGCTCGCTCAGAAGATCCAAAACCATAACTTCAGTACGGACCGCAGCAACATTTCACGTGCTGGAACTAAGCACCAACAAAACTCTGAAAGTTGGCTCCCCAGAGGACCCTTAGCTAGTGATGTTGCAGGAGTCAACGCGCATAAATCAGAGGATATAGTCATCGTCCTGCAAGTGTACAAGCTTTCTTTGTATCGACTTGAACTTACTTCTTTTGCTTTTTTTATCACTCCCCAAGGCAACATGTCCAATTTCTATAAAACTCGAGGTAAATTTATTCGGACATGCTTTCACTTAGAGTTAGGTTCATGATCGACCACATCCTCGAAATCCTAAAGATAGACGTACAATATTGCCCATTCGCTAATTACAGTAATAATTAACCCTTCGAATATGCCAGCGTGTCTTGTTCAGAAAAATCATCTCTGGATTGGGGTGCGGTTTCCTAATCAGGAAATATCTGTCATGTGACTTGTCCTCTCCATAATGAACAAACGGAATTTTTCAATTTTATTCTTTTGATTTCCACCACTTTCTTTCTTTAAACCAACGCAACCAAACGAACTACAAAATAGATATATAGATAGATATTACTATGAGGCATCTATTATTAATATCATGGCTAATTGCATTGGCATCTTCCGCCATTTTAGGTGTAGATTATGGCCAACAATATTCCAAAGCAGTCTTGTTGGCCCCAGGTATTCCCTTTGAAATCGTTCTAACTGATGAAGGAAAACGGAAAGACTTATCTGGTTTATGTATAAGGCAACAGGGACACCAATTGGAAAGAACCTATGGATCACAAATGGGTTCTCTTATTACCAGATTCCCACAATCTTGTGTATTGGATTTGAAAGCATTGATTGGTAAGAAAATTGATGATCCAAGTGTATCCCAATATTCAAAGATTCATCCTGGGATTAAATTGGTTGGAGATGAAAATAGAGGAAATTCTATTAAGTTTGATTTAGGATTATCTAATTCGACTTTTCAATTTTCTGTTGAAGAATTATTGGCAATGACTTTAAGTGAATTTAAACAAAGGGCATTGAATGAATTAGAAAATAGTAAGAATGCAGCTCCATTGGTTGATGATGTCATAATTGCAATCCCACCATTTTCTTCCCAAGCTACCAGACAAGCATATTTGGATGCTTTGAAATTGGCCGGGTTTTCGAATGTGTTGGGATTGGTTGAGGAAGGAACTTCAGTAGCACTTAATTTTGCAAGTAATAAGAAATTCGAAAAGGATGAATTTAATGGCAAGAAACAATATCATTTAGTATTGGATGTTGGGGCAGGATATACTACTGCTACTTTATTTTCAATAATTCCAAATATTCAAAAACAATTAATTGTGGAAATGGAAAGTGTTGGATCTGATTCTATGTTTGGTGGAAGTTTATTAACTGATTCGGTTTATTCTATTATTTCTCAAAAGTTCTTGGATCAGTTTAATTTAAAGAATAAGGATATAACTCCAAAATTATCTGCTAGATTATATGATATTGCTGAAAAGGCTAAGATTGTTCTTTCAGCAAATAATGAATACAGCACCACTATTGAATCTATCTATGACGAAAAGGATTTCCGATTTGCTATCACCAGACAAGAATTTGAAGATCATAATGCAGATTTAATTGCCCATGTCAATCAACCTATTATTGAAGCTTTGAAAGCCAAAGATTTGTCTGTTGAGAATTTGACTTCAGTTATTTTGAATGGTGGATCAAGTAGAGTACCATTCGTGCAAAAACATGTTTCGTTATTTGTTGGTGAAGAAAAAATTTCCAAGAGTGTCAACACTGATGAAAGTTCCGCTTTGGGTACTACCTTGAGAGGATTGAATATCAAAACCGGAACTTCTAAGAATGTTGTATTAGTTGAAAAGAATCACTATAACTTTGGATATAGCGTTAATGGTAAGGATGTTGAGACAGTATTCGCCAAAGGCTCTATTGTTGGAAATGTCACTAGAGTTAACGTTGGACCAATTGAAAATCAAAATGTTACCGTTGAATTATATGAAGATGGATCATTATTTAAATCTTATACTTTTGATAACGTACTTTCGAAATATACCAAGCATAGTTGTAAATCCAAACAAACCAAGGAGTTATTCATTTCATTTGAATTAAATGAAAACAAGATGTTTGATCTTACTCGTGCCGAGATTGAATGTGTTTCACATAAATCCGAATCATTCTTTGATAAGTTGTTACACAAGAAAGAACCTGAAAGTGAAGACGAACTGGAAGATGAATCAACTACAGCAAGCACAATCAAAAACTTAAATAATACCAATGGAACTAATAATACTGTTCCAGAACCACCTAAGAAGAAATCTAAGACTAAGAAACCAAAGGTTACCTGGATTATGAAACCAGAAGCAACATATCCTAGAATCAAACCATTGTCCAGAACTGATCAAAGGGAACTTTCAAAGAAACTTGAATATTTGAACAAACAAGATGACTTGAAGGTTGAATTGGATGCCCTTAGAAACAGATTGGAATCAAGTTGTTATGGCTTACGTTCTTTCATTGACGATAATGAAGATGTTTTACAATCAGCATTATCTAAGCGTAAAATATCTACTTATTCAGATTACGTAAGTGAAGTAATTGAATGGTTGGATTTCGAAAGTGATGATGCGTCAATTGAAGATATTGAAGAAAAATTACAAGAAATAAAAACTAAAAAAGATGAATTGGATAAAATTAAGCAAATGGCAGAAGCTGATTTAAGTCATGCTGCAATGAAGAAAATATATGATGAAGGTTCGAAAATGGTTATGAAAATCCAATCGAAAATGCTTGATTTTGGTCAATCAATTAGTGAAATTAGAGCCAAATATGACAAGGCAGGTTTCAATTTTGATAAAGAAAATGATAGAATTAAATTAAGATTAATGGAAAATGATGATAAATTATTATCATTTGATAGAACCTTAGAAGCATATAGAGAAATTTTAACTGAGATTGGACAATTGGTTGATAATCCAGATGAATTTGATAGGATTCCAAGAGAGCATGTGTTTGATTGCCATTATAGATTGGGTCAGAAGATTGCTGATATGGTTAGGGATTTGATGGCTATTGAAGGTATGCATGCTAAGAGGACTGAATTGTTTGAGAGTCAATTTGAAAGATTAACCGAAAGAGAAAAACAAAGAGAATTTAGAAAGAAGTTGAGAGAAGCGTCAAAATCAATGGAAGAAGAAGCTAAGAAGACAGAAGAAGCAGCAAAAGAAGAGGAAGAAGAACCAAAGAAGGGTGAACAAGAACCGGCACAAGATGAAGCAAAAGGCTCCTCTAAACAGGCATCAGAGGAATCAACATCATCAGTAACTGATTCTACTGAGTCAAATGATGCAAATGCATCTTCTTCAGCAACCTCTGAAATTGCTCATGACGAATTATAAAACCATCATAAACATTATATAGATAAGTAGTGTTGTTTTATACAGTAATAATAAATTAAATTCATTGCAGCATTATTATATTTTAAATTTTGTCTTCCTCTTGAAGGGAGGTTCCCAAATTTTGTTTGCCATTTACTTCAATACAGAATAAATTCAGTTGCAGCTTTTTTAACTCATGACCTCACAGAGAAATAGCTATAGTGTAGGGGTTAGATATCGTCTTTTGCAATAAGCCGACAACTCGAATTCTCTTGAGTTACACCTTGTGCAAACTGTACCATCCAGTCTACTTCGAAACAAGAAATGTAGGGTGGTGTAGACCCTGTTGAAGGATTATCTGAATAATTCCAACCTACTCGAGAATTTAACAAAAGTATTTCAAACCAGTGGAAGATTATTTCGTTTCGCATTCCTTTTGGTGTCTGTTGAATTGAAAATTCAGGTAAATAAATGTGAAAATTGATTGATATCTTATTTTTTTTTTGCAGCCATCAAAACTGTAAAATAAAAAAATATTTAATTAGAAAGAGAGAAGCTTTATTTTTTAAGGGCTTTTAAATAAACCTATTGGAAAAAATAATAAAACCAACAAACAAAAAAACCAACAAAAGAAATCTCTCGATAAAATTGATTAATGACTTCTTTCTTAAACTATTCATTTAAAATAGAAGATTAATCTAAAAAGAACACGTAGATTTCAATTAAATCAAATCACATTCATTGAAAACTGCAAAAGGACGATTTTCAAATTAATATAAACAACACAAATCCACATTCATTTCCATCTCATCAACGTCACAAAAATGTCATCGACAACTAATTTCTACTCCAGAAGAAGAGATGACGACGATAATAACCCACCACGTAATCCCACCACTACAACTAACACTACAACCGATACTACGACTAATCCATCCTCATCGAGGACATCTGGAAATATCAGAAACCCATCCAATTATTCAAGAAATACCGATACACCAAATGATAATAGAGATGCTTACTCTAGAAGAGGTGATAGATATAGACCAAGTGAACCTGGGTCATACAATAGGAACGATAATGGGTATCAGCAACCTAGGGAATATAGGGATAGAGGTAGAGAAAGAGTAGCTGAGTCTTCTACTTCATACAATAGAAGCGATGAGCAACAACCCAAAGACTATAGGGATAGAGGCAGAGAAAGAGCAAAAGAACCAAGTTCGTATAATAGAACTGATGATAGCTCGTCTCGGGAGTATAGGGACAGAGGTAGGGAAAGAACAGTTGGGGATAGTAGTCAACTGACTTCATCACTGTATAGAAGAAGTGAAGATAGAATAAGAGATGACAGAAGAGGTGATGACAGAAGAGGTGGTGACGACAGGCGTAGAGATAATCGAGGAAGAGATGAAAGAAGTAGATACGCTCCCAGCGATGACAATCATTACACCCCTAGATCCTATCAATCCCGAAAAAGAGAACAACCGTCCGATCCTCTGTCATCATACAGACCAACCAAACAACCAAGACATTACGATTCACGAACTGCCGCTGCTCCGTCATCCTCCCATTATCCATCCCGTTCTGCCGAGCCTGAACTCCCACCCGCTGAAGAAATCGTCCAGATCGAGAAAGAATTACAAGTATTATCCAATATCGAACCAATTGAAGACCTTAAAGTGATTGATTCGAGATGGGGCGTGAAACCAAAAGGATTTGAACAAGTTTCGGCGCAACGTGCCAAATTATCAGGATTGTTCCCCTTGCCGGGATTCCCCCGTCCTGTTGATTTCACGAAATTAGAAGGATTGATTAAGGATAGATTATCTAACAGTTCTGATATTTTGATTGAAAGTTCGAAAATTGACCCTGTGGATTCTAAAGTGGCCAAAACTTTGGTTATTCGGAATGATTTATCCAAGATTAATTATTTGAAATTGGTGGAATTCTTTAATGATTGTTTGAAGGTGATTGATATTGAATTGAATGAAAATGGGACTAGTAATATTCATTCAAAGAAAAAGACTAAAGATGATAAATATTTGATAATTGAGTTTAATGATAGTGAATGTGCTACTATTATCTATTCGTTAAATGGGATGGAATTGTTATTTAATGCATATAAAGAAGAAAATATCCCTCGAAGTTCTGAGAATGAGAAATTTAAATTGGTGATAACTAGACCAAATGAATATCTTGTTCAAAATCTCCCACAACAACCATTAAAAGAATCAGGCATGATTGAGGAAATCGTGAAAGACAGTCCGAGAAAGATAACATTGGTTATATCCCCAGATACATCCGTCGATTCAATTAGAGAAGAATTAGAAAAGATCCATCCACTTCATGGAATGCAATATTTACGACAAAAGGGAACCAAGGATCCTCTTGGAATTGTATTTATTGAATTTGAAGTAATTGATAAAAATCATACATTGCAACAACAAATAAATCAATTATCTACATATATTGATAAAATCAAGAAGATTTCATTTGTTCATAATGTTTTCTTCTCATGTATTGATTCAAATAACCCATTAGCAAATATTCAAGATTCAATTATTGATTTTCATAATTTGAAAGCATTAGTCCGGAATGAAAAAGTTTTCCCGCATCCAAAGCTGAGAGTTATTCAAATCTTAAATGCCGTCACGGTTAAAGAATTAGCCGATGATGACAACTATCAATTAATACTTCAAGATATGAAATCTGAAGTTGGGAAATATGGAACCATTAAATCAATTAAAATCCCCAGACCTGATCATGATTTCATGCCTGATTTATTACAATTTAATCAACCTAGTTTAGGTAAAATATTTGTCGAATTCGAGGATGAGAATAATGCATTTAAAGCGATTATGGGAATATCGGGGATGCTGTATAATGATAGAACTGTATTATGTTGTTTTTTCGATTATGAAGATTATCAAAATGGATTATATTGAATAATTATTAATAAATTGTTTTAATTCAAAGGGAACTGATTTATCATATCCATGTCTGGCAATTAGATCATATAATTGTTTAGGTAATTCCGGTATAAAACTTAGACTTAATTTAATTATTTCATTTTCTTGTAAATTTGGCCAATTACGTAAAATTTTCATTGGTTGTTCTGATTGTAATAAACTTGTACGATTTATGATTAATTGTGCAACCACAAATAAAATATTCATATGAGTACCATAAGCAAATAAGAAATCCCAAAGTTTAAGTACTGACTTCAAGGGTGGGGTACTTGCACATAAGGTCAATATCGGAGCAAATGCATATATTTCAGCATTTAACAATTTTGAATTAAAATATTCACTCAAAATCGGATCAATAATCTTTAAAACCACTTCTACCAAACTAATTGCAGTATGAACCCCTTCTAAATCAGGAGTAATATATAATGGAATATGATTCGTGATCAAATTATGCAAAATAGCAAACGATTGAGGCTCACTCTTATGACAAACATATGCAATTGGCGCCAACAACACATTCAATCCTTGAACATATCCCGCTTTATTGTCAGTGGTTATTGCAATACAACTCAAAACTCTTATCAAAGTATCTTCACTCACTTTTTGATGAAATTTCTTATCATTCATCAATGTCCTAAAAGTATCATTCTTAATCTTGGCCAATACTTCACCCAGGATAGATGATTCAGCCAGTGATAATAATTTCATATAGTCATGAGTTGAGAATGGAGGCACACGGAGAAGGATTGACCAGACGTAGGATCGATACGGACATTGATCATATCCTTCGGGAATGGTAAGTCCTTCCATTAGGACGTAGTATCGGAGTTGTGAGAGACCATTTTCGAGGAATAGTTGTTCTGATTCGATGTATTGTTCAATGTTGTGTTTCTTTCGTGGTTTGGTCGTGGTGTTGGTGGTGGTGGTTGAGATGATTTGTGACGGTTTATGGGTGATTTTCAGCAGCATTGTCGTAGGGGGGAATGGAAGGTTATTGGGTGAGGATGTTTTCAAGTCTAGATGGGAGTTCCCTGGGGTGTTAATTGAAGGGAGTGTAAATTGGTTGTAAAGATTTTGATTTGATCTAATAAATTTGTAAACAAACAGAAAGTGAATAAAGAAAAAATAAAAACAACTCGTCTTAACATGTAAAAAGTGTAAGTTTTGTAGGTTAACTAAACCTTACAGATTAGCAGTATATTTCAATTTTACAGTTTGCCTTCCTAGAACTTGTTGAAGAATAAACTTCATAATCAGACAGACATTTTTATTCTTCTTGGAACTATCAGTAATATCTACTACATCATCTTATAGAATCAATAGACAATATACCCCCTTTATATATACCAGTAAGCAAGCAATAGACTAAATAGGACAAGGAATACAATGTTTGGGTTAGGTAAATTATTATATGTTGTTGTATTAACTATCAATGGAATAGCAGTATTAAGTGAAGATAGATTTCTTAATAGAATAGGATGGGGTTCAAAAGCTAATATTAATAACCCGAATATGCAATTTAATCAATTTAGTACTGGTGATATGATGATGAACTCTAACAATAATGATGGAAGTATAAAAGTAAAATTAATTAATTTAATAAGTGCAATTAGAACTTTAATGAGAATTCCTTTAATTGCAATAAATATATTAATTATATTATATGAATTAATATTAGGTTAACCATTGTATATATACTTGTATATCTATTAACTATTACTAATAATAATACACACATACATGACTTACTCATACTCATACTCCAACTACTCATTACTCATTAAAGAATTATTACCCAAGAATCTACAACTACTACTACATACAACTAACTAGTATACAAAAAGAACTAAACAAGTAAACCCATATCACTTCACTTCATGAATCAGTTGACTATTTAATCTATCTCTTGATTTTTTAAATAATTCTTCTTGTTGTCTTAATAATTCTTCTTCACTTAAACCAGAATTTTGGAATTTATTATTCTTCTTTTCTTTACCTTTCAATAATTCTTTATGTTCATTTAAAATCTTATTAATGATTGTTAAATAATTATGAAAATCTAATTCTTCTAATGCTTTAACAACATGATCAGATGCAATTGTCTTTTTAGCTTCCTTTTCAGCAATATCATTGGATTGTGTACTTAACATCATAATAAACTCAACACTACATTCAGTAATTGCTTCTCTTGCATCTTTAGATATAGCAATATCTTTAGGTAATATCTCACCTATTATCTTTTGTACTGTAGCCTTGGGTAATGATAAATCTTCTGATGATGATCCTGAATATTCCGACATTTTCCCTTGTTGTTAGTTCTGTATATTAATTTGATGGTTTATATCTATCTATATTATCTGGTTTATCAGTTATAACACGTAAATTCCAAAAGGATTCTATTCAATAAGTTCTTGATATATATTAAAGGCTCTTCATATGTAAATGGCTGAGAAAAGAAGAAGTCCCAAAAAAAAAGATTGAGAAATGTCGCACTCTTTATATAAAATCTGTTTTTTTTGTGTCTGTCTGACAGTTTTGATGATGTGTATTGTTTACTCGTAAAAAAATTATCTGATTACGTCAGATTCGGACTATTATTACATAATCAATTTAAATATGGTGTTCTCCAAACACTATGTATGATCACGATGACTCAGTTACAAACTTTGAAATTGCTTCAACAAACTCTTTTGGTTTCTCACTAGATATCCAATGACCACAGTCAAACTCTTCATATTCAACATCATCAAAATATCTATCAAATTCATAATAATATTCTGGTAATACAAATTCAGATTTCTTACCCGATAATACCAATACTGGTTTCAAATATTTATCAGCACTTCCAATATTTGGCCAACCTCCCAAACTAGGCACAATCCCATGTTTATAAAAATTCATAACCGGTGTCTTAAATACTTCTTTATGTGGATTCTTGGCCATTGAAAACTTATGATGTCCAGGTTTAGTCAATAAATTCTGCATCAAAAATTGTCTAACTACGGGATCAGGTTCATATTTCGACAACATCCGTTCAACCTTCTTCACATCCACAACTCTCTTCCCCTCTGCATCTTTAACATCGGGATGCTTTTCTTCCACTTCACACATCCCCAATAAATCCCATTCATATTGTTTACTCAATGGTTTATAATGCGGAGTATTATCAACCACCACCAATTTCTCAATTAATTCAGGATAAAGTAAACTTAAAATCATACTAGCTTTAGCTCCCATTGAATGTCCAACTAAAATAACCAGTTTCCAATGTCTATCCATTATAAAATCATGTAAATCCAGTGCTAATTGAGAGTAAGTATGGGGTAATACATGGGGAGCATCACCATGATTTCTTAAATCAACTCCATATACGGGATGTTTTGTAATTCGACTGATTTCTCGTCCGACAACATTATAATTCGACTTGTTTCCAAATAAGCCATGTACCATTAGGATGGGTGTGAGTGTTTGGTCAATGTGGTTGGAATATGGTTTATATTGTTTATAAGGTAAGATGACTCTTTCTTCAAAGGGGAGATCGGGAATATCATCAAGATGAAATGAGGGGTGGAGATCTATTGGGGAATTGGATGTGTTGGGGGTTGACAGTTGGGTTGCTACCGATAGGAATCGTTTCAGAGAAACCACTGGAGTTCTTATAAGTCCTAATCTACTGATCATTTTATGATGCTTCTATAACTGAAAGGAAAAAGAACAAGGTTAATAAGGAAGACAAAAATGTTGGAAGTGATCTTTTTTTCTTGGGGTTCGTTTTTGACTCCGGTAATAACCGTCGATCAGAGATTACTTTAAAACTACAATATTTATTCTAAGATCATATATATACTATCTAAGCATTATTGTTGTTGTCATTATCATTTCCACCTGGATTGTTTCCACCCATGAAATTTCTTAACATTGGATTATTCATAATATTACTTAAATCTGGACCATCTTCACCACCTATTCCCATACTTTGAGCCATTTGACGAACAGCAGGATTATTAAATAAGTCAGCCATAGCATTTGGATTAGACATCATTTCTTGTGCAGCTTGCATGATTTGTGGATTTCCCATCATATCCGCAAAAGATGGCATCCCTCCTGGACCTCCAGCACCAGCACCGGCACCACCAAACATACTACCGAAATCAGGTAATCCACCAGCACTACCGGCTCCGGCACCAGCACTGGAAGAGTCAGCAGATCTTGTGTCATTGGAGGAAAGAGTAGTTTCTAATTCATCTTCAACTCTCTTTTTGGCAGTTTCATACCCCTTTCTCATAGCTTCGGATTTAGTTTCACCTTCAATATCTAAACCTTGTTTATAAGCTTCCATAGAAGACTTAGCATCACCAAGAGCATATTTAGCTAATCCTAATCTAGAATAAGCTTTAGCGAAATTTGGATTTAATTCAATTGCCTTTTCAGCATCTTCAACTGCTTTGGCATGATCACCACTGGATGAATAAGCAGCAGCTCTGTTGGAAAGATATACCACATTATTTGAATCTAATTCAATAGCTTCGGTATATTTTGCAATTGCGACAGAGAAATTCTTGGCTGCCATAGCTCTATTTCCTTCAACTTTTAATGCATCTGCTTTTGCTCTAGTTTCGGCATCGACTTCGGATTCTTTGGTGGAAGTGGCGGATGATGAAGAGGTGATTATGGTGTTGAGTAATTGGTCTAATGATTTGCCTTGGAATTTATCCTTGATGGTAGATTCGGCATCTTCTTTGTTAACTTCAAATGCATCGGCAATACAATCAATAGCAACATCTAATGATTCAACGTATTCTTCATTGATTTGTTTGTTTTTGATGGAAGTTGTTAAGTAGTTAATTATGTTTAATGCAATATCTTTATTAGAAACAGTCATAGTTAGGAGGTGTGTTTATATCTATTATATGGAAATAAAAATGAATAATAAAGTGTGGATAAATCAAGAGATTTAAATAAAGAAGCTGCGTGGACATCTTTTTTTTCACTCTCCGCGTAAAAAGAAAAGAATGAGACAGAAGCTTCTGTCGGAAGTCTAATTTGCACGTGCAAATTTGAACCGGATTTTGTGGGGACTTCGTTGATCGAATAACGACACTGAACACTTGTCTTAGCCTTTCGAAACTGACTAACCTAGCAGGGACTCTTGTCTGTAATGTTTTGTTAGTCAGCACGTTGCTTTATGATATGTGTCTCACGTAATTTCCTAGAGATTTACTTACTCACTTTATGGAAAAATTTCGCAGCCATTTGGTGCAAACTTTAGAAGAGAACTTTACTACGCCATGAAGTACACAGCTCTTTTGGCTCTTTTTCAGATTAGCTTTTATCTATCGATTACTATTACACTATTATAAAAGAAATACAAGACCCTATATAAACAATAAACGCTTTTACTTACCTTTCTAATTTTGATCTCACTTATAAAACTTGAATGCCTTGTGCTGCTATTCGCGGTTTTGAATATCTCGTTAACGTATAAACACATACTATCAACGATGCATCATTTCAAATCCTTGAGAATAGACTGCAATTCAAGCTTTCTTTGCTTCAACCTCCTAATTTCACCATTATTAAACACCTTTATTCCAAATCTCAAAAACTCAGTTCTAAATTTCAAAAAATTAGAAATCTCAGCGGCAATAATCTCATGCCCCCATCTAATATCAAAATTTAATTTCATAATTTGTTTAACCTTTTCTGATTTTGCCACTATTAATTTCTTATATTTAGTCTTTCTTCTTTCGCCAAAACTGAAAAAAGCCGTGTCTTCCTCGATTTCATTCTCAGGGATGGGATTGATTGAAAGAGTCTGTCCACTAATTGTACGACTAATTGTCCCACCGTCTTCTCCATTCTCTTCTGTATTACCATTCTCAACAGGAACGGCGTCGGTGTTGGCTACTGGTTGCTCCAGTTTCTCCAGTTTCTTTTCTATTTGTTTGAGTTCCAGATTAAGAATACATATAGAATGATAAACTTCTTTCCATGATCTAATCTCTTGCATTATTTTATTGATATTCTTGAGTAATTCCTCCGAAGTTGCCTGAATCCATGTTATATATCCCAATAATGTATTCCACGAGGAATCGCGTTCAGCAATTTGTGACGCACTTCGTAAGGTGTTGTCGCATAAATTGCTTTTTGGGATTATGTTGAATAATGCCTGATCTTCAACATAATTGGCATCAGTTTGTTTTAGCTCAGCAAATGCAATTAATTTTGCTAATTTGCTAAATAAGGTCTTATACTTATTCAAATCAGTTAAGGAATATTCTAAAAAGTACTCAATCTCGTAGATCTGGTTGGTTTTATAAGTCACATCCTCGCCAAACTTTTTAATTTTATTTCGTTCAATTGATTCTCCAATCTTTTTCTTGATATCTAAAATCAGGGTTTCTACTTCCACACTTAAAAACGACTTGAAAAATACACTTCTATTAATATTGGATTGAAATACAAGACTTCGAAACAAGATATTGAGATTTTCAATGAATCGATTAATTCTAAATTTATGAAACATGGGCGACGTAGGTATATCTATCGGAAAGTTCTTCCAAAAAGTTTCTTCATCGGGAAAAGTAGATAACGGATATTTCAATTTCGTGATAAATAATCTCTGCTTGATATTGTTTATTGATCTGTAATTACAATATGCATCGGAATTCCTAAGAAATATTAACCAGTCTTTCTTATTAGAATCATATTTCCCATTCATCGCCACGAGATTATCCTCAGCCCCTCGTGGGAAATAGTTATCTAAATAATAATCGAAAATACAAGCTTCCATCTTGCCAAACACTTCAGTCTTTAACGATTTTGCAGCCAGGAATCCTAAATAATCAAAAACATTATAATGATTCTTTAAATCCTCAAACAAGAAATCTAATCTAGAATCCTTCAAGATTTCTTGTAAATTTTCTAAACGGTTATACTTAACATACAACATCAATGGAGTCATATTCCGTTGACTGGTCTGGTTTATATCGATAATATTCCCTTCATTCGATAATAGTTCTGTTTCAGGTATCCCCTTCAATATTACATGTAATAACGTATTACCCGATTTATCTACATGTTTATCAAAATCCAAATTTCCTCGACCATACTTTTCATATACACAAGCAAATCCATGTTTGATTAAATCAACATAGTCTGGGTGATCATAACATCGACAAAGACTGAATAAGGGTGTATGAGAATTACTATCCTTCAATTCCCAATCAATGTATTGCCCAATTGAATCGATTAATTTATAATTATGGAATAGATAATGTCCGACTGATCTACCCGACTTGTCGATACTATTGAAATATGCCGCCAGTTCCTCCGGTGTGGAGTTTGATAGTATTATCGACACTAAATCGTCCATAATTCGGGGGTCAGTTTCTTCAATTAAGCAAAGTGTTAACAAATTCTGCTTGGTAACGACATTCATATCGAATAGAACTGTGTCAATTGAAAACCAGCCCGGGTTTGTATTCATTAATAGATTATAAATATCGTAGTTTTTAGACCTAATCGCAAATGCAATACAACTTTCTCCATTAATATTCCTGCTGTTCAAGAAATGATTATCTGGCAACACTTCACAATTGGGAAATTCGTCGCTGACTTCATCTATTATTTCTTGCAATTTTTCAATATCTTGTTCATAGATAGAATTCCACAATTGATAATTTTTGTTGGACTGTGACATTAGATCAATATATCCAGCCTCATTTCCTGACATATGGTACAAAACAGCATCCAAATTACTCATAATATAATTGAAATGTCCATCTGCATGATGGTCAACTGAATTAAAATTCCTGATATAGTATATATGTGCTTCTAAATTGTCAACTTTTGAATGGGCAATAACCATAATCATTAAGCTGATCAAAATATCGGCATTGATCGTCAAATCCCACAGGTCTCGGCTAAGTATTTTCACAGTATTATATATTATATTCGTCTTTGAAGTCAGTATAACAATCGATGAATCGGATAATTTCTCAAATTCTTTAATTGCCAAAGATACACGTTCATATAACTCATTCAACTTCCAAGGTTCTTCAATTGGCAAATCTAACTGATTTAATGACAAACATGATAAATTTCTATACTTCTCTGTCGTCAATATTTTAATTGCCTCCTTATCGTATGTCTCTTTATCATCATTCAGGAAATTAAATTGAAATATCAATTGGGACCAAAGGACGTCATATAGGTTTAATTCGACATATTCATGCACTAGTTTGTTTAAATCGATTCCGGGAAACATACTTATAATATGATTTATTAGACTATATGTTTGTTCACTGTCTGGATTTTCAACTTTAACGCTATCCAGAATTATCTTAAAAGCTTCATCTAACATTTTCCGAAACTCAACTCTAATTTCATCTAGAGGTTTTCTTGTATACGTTCGCAACACTCTAAATTTCTTGTTATTATGATGGAATAATTTATAAAATTTATCTGATACCGCTTTCGAAAGTAACGGGAAACTTCGTAATAGTTTCTCGAATGTAATTGAATCTAGGTTAAGTGATTTATCTTTTGATGATTTTGATGTGCCCGATGCCGAGGAGGAAGGTGGGGGAATTGGTGGTAATGATTTACGATTCGGTACTCCTCCAATTAATGTACTTTCAATATGAATTAACATGAATTTACTTCCCTGAGGGAAATAATCACTGAATGAATGGAAATACAGTATATGGGATATTTTAAGTTTTAAACTTCTTCTAAATCCCTTTCCGGTATAGATCATTCTATTCTTGATTAATATCTGTTTACTACTGAGTGTGTTATATATCACCAGTTGTTCCTTTGATATGGGTGTTACCGTACTTGATACTGGGGTGCTGGTTTTAATAATGTGTGATTTGATGAAATCTTCGTTGTTGTAACAAAATTCTTTAAGCAAGGTCTTTGTACTATTACTTTGAGTGGATGGGTCATAATATTCATTGAGAACGTATGAAGACGGTACTATCAAAGTATATTCATTGTGATTGGCTCTCAATTCTTCTATTACGCTTTTGAATGGTGATTTGTTGAAATGAGGATTGTTAAATATGCAATTAAGAAATGGATTATATAAAACAGGAAGGTGGGAGATTGGTTGTTGCTGCTTATGCGGGGACAGTTGATGTTGTTGCTGATTATATGACATTTCTATTATTGTTATAATCTCATCAAATCCATTACTCACTAAACTTTGTCTCTGTTTGAAATATATTGTATGTCAATTATAGAAAAGTAAACTTGGCAGCAAACCCAATTGCCCCTAAATCTTAAACGATTTAACACAAAAGAAAAAAAGAACATAGCCAGCTCACGGAGCTACCAGTTACAACCTTTCCGGAGTCGACCACAAGACCAAATGTGATGTGGATACTTCTATATGGCATAATAGAGTCCAATAATAACTGGATAGTCTTTCAAGAAAGATATTAAGATCTAAAAGAGCAAATGATATGGATTTCCATTCCTTGTTCCAGAAATCAATATATTAATCAATTTTTGACGTCATCGCATGCGCTACCATGCGAAACTGTTGTCAACCACTATGGTTCCGCTAGTCGATCAAAAACGGCTCATAACATGTTGAAACTTCGAAAACTTTATAGGCAGGTGATTATCTTTCCGTTACTAGCTCCATGAAGTGTATATCAGTGCCGAAGCTTAAAATAGAAGTTTAAATACTGGCAAATATTTTGCTGCAAAATTTTCATTCACTCAGTATAAATCTCTTACCCACCAATTATGCTAGAAACGAAGAAGCTGATACATTTACAGATAAGGCTAAGTTTTAATTATAAATATGTAAAGGTAAAGATGTACGAAATAATTCTAAATTTTAAAAATATATAAATTAGTTGGTTTCTTGGGTTCTTGTTCTCAAACCAACAGATCCAGTAACTACTGTTGGCTTTTCACTTCGGATTGGATAGTTAATCTCCTCGCTTACAGCTTCTTTGTTTGGAGAACCAAATCCACCACCTCCAGGTGTCATGATAATAATTCTATCACCCGTTGCAACTTTGAGAGTACACTTCCCACCAAGGTATTTCTTTCTGTATTCGCCATCTTCTGCCTTTCTGTACCAACTATTTTTACCTCTCGATCCATCCTGTCCACCCAATAACCCAAATGGGGCTAACGATCTTCTTTCCATAAGACAAGATACTTCCAAATTTGGATAAAGGAATTCGATATCTCTAATTACACCATTACCACCTCTATGTAATCCATTACCTCCTGATCCTTCCCTAACTGAATATTCACGAAGTAAAACAGGATATCTTTTCTCAAATAATTCAGTATCGGTCATTCTAGTATTAGTAGTATGACATTGTACAACTGACTGACCATCCCAAGTTGGCCCAGCTCCTGAGCCACCACAAATAGTTTCATAATAACCAAACGAAATTCCATTCTCCTTATCAGTGATACCAAATGTAAAATTATTACAAGTACCTTGGGAGGCAGCTGCCGCTTGGAAGGTTTTAAGCATAACATCAACAATTCTTTGAGTAGTTTCAACATTTCCACCCACAACTGCAGCATCATATGATGGATTCACTACCGATCCTTCTCTAGTTGAGAATTTAATTGGCCTTAAACAACCATTATTCAATGGGATATCAGTACTGATCAAACATCTTAAAACATACAACACCGCCGAATATAAAATAGCTCTAGGAGCATTAAGATTTCCATAGATTTCGTCACCAGATTCGGAGAAGTCAAATAATGCATCACCACTCTCAGGATTAATCGTAACTTCCAACGCAATCGCAGTTCCATCATCCAAATAATCAATTCCTTTCAAATGTTTACCTCCGAATTTCTCATGTGCTAATCTAAGCAAGTTTCTAACTGCGATTTCAGCAGTGGCTTGAATACCGCCCATATATAGATTAATAACATCAAATGAAAATTCATCAACTAGCTTTGCTAATAAATTAATACCCTTGTAGTTCGCAGATACTTGTGCTTTCAAATCAGAAATATTATCACTCAAGGTTCTTGTACCCGATCCTCCGGGATATTTCGCTGGCTCATCATACAAAATTCTTGTAATCCCAGCTTCATCGAAAACACCCTTATTGCAAAGTTTATGAGATACAATAGAAGCACCTTCCTCAAAAATAGTTTTTGAATTTGGTGGCATGGATCCAGCTGAAATAGATCCAATATCAGCATGATGTCCTCTTGAGGCAGTCCAAAAGATCGGATTGTTATTCTTATCCAAAACTGGTGTGATGACTGTTATGTCCGGTAAATGAGATCCACCAGCTTTTGGATGATTAGAAACCAACACATCTCCAGGTTGTAACTTCCCTTTCCAAATATCGATCTGTGCCTTGACTGCAAACGACATAGCACCAAGATGAATAGGGACATGAGGGGCGTTGGCCACTAAATCACCATTTCCATCAAATAAAGCACATGAGAAATCCAATCTTTCTTTGATATTGGTGGATATAGCGGTTTGTTGGAGAGTTCTACCCATTTGTTCAGCAATTGACATAAACCTGTGTCCAAACACGGATAGTTGGATTGGATCAACTTGTGTACTGGATAATTGTGGTTTCTCTTCTTGTTCAACAATGAGCAAGATATGGTTTGATAAGATCGCAGCCTTGGAACGTGGCTCTACAAGAATTGTTTGGGTGGCATCTAAGATCATAGCAGGTCCTGGGATAATTGTACCGGTTTTCAATTCTGGTAATTGATAAATGTCGGATTCCAACCAACCTTCGGAATCGAAATAGATCTTTCTTTGAACTTTGGAAGCTTCTGCAGTTTGAGTGGTAGCTAATTGACTGAACTCTTCATATGGGTTGTGCTCTTCCTTATCAAAAGATTCAACAATGAGTAATACTTGGACATCATCAACTAAAACCTTTCTATCCAAATTAAATCCAAATTCGAATTTATGTCTAGCAATAAACTTTTCATCAGCGTTATATTCACCTTTTTCAACCGGGATCAATAAATGAGTATCAGAACCAACATATCTCATATTCAAATATACTTCCAATCTAGTATTGAAATCAGTCAAGTTTTGATCATGATATTCCTTATCTGCCGCCTCAACCAAATATTTAATTTTAGTATCAATAACATCAAAATTCTCTTTTGAATAAGTAAACGATGCAGGAGATTGCTTTTCAATCACAATATCTGCCAATTGAATCCCATATGCGGACAACAATGACGAATACTTATGAATGGCTACATGGGTAATCCCCAAATTTTTAGCTAACGAGACTGCAAATTGCCCACCGGAACCACCGAAACTGGCTAAATTATGATCTGCGGTATTGAACCCTTTGGCTTCAGTTAAGTTTCTAATTGGTCTTGCCATTGATTCTACTGCAACTTTCAAAAATCCACTGGCAACCTCTTCAGGAGTCAATTTAATGCCTTGTGCCGCCTTGTCTTTATTAATTTCTTCAGTCAACTCCTTGAACTTTTGAGCAGTCAATTCATAATCCAAAGCTTGATCTTGATTTGGACCGAATATATGGGGGAAGAACTCTGGCAACAATCTTCCGACATATAAATTTGCATCTGTGACAGTCAAGGGACCACCTTTTCTGTAACAAACTGGACCAGGGTCAGAACCTGCTGATTCTGGACCGGTGACAAACATTCCATTCTTCCAGAATAACATAGACCCACCGCCAGCCGCAACTGTTGAGATATCCAATTGTGGAGTTTGCAAACTAACCTCACTAACTACAGTTTCGTAAATATGTTCAAGGGTTCCTGAGTATCTCGATACATCAGTTGAAGTACCACCAGCATCAAATCCTAAAGTAGCTTTCTTGGTTTTAGCGTCATAACAAGTTTCACCAAATCCAACCATACCACCAGCCGGTCCTGACAAGATGGCCTTTAAACCAGTAAATTTATACCAAGGACATAATCCACCATTTGATTGCATGAATAACAACTTATTTCCAAATGATTCTAAACCGCCTTCGAAGCCTTCGCCAAAAGACTGGACATAGTCATTAATGATAGGAGAAAGATAGGCATCTGCAACAGTCGATGAAGTTCTATTGACAAATCCAAGCATTGGTTGTAATTCATGAGAAACCGAAATATCAAATCCGACTTTCTTGGCAATTTCTGCAACTTTGGCTTCATGTTCAGGATAGGCGTACGAATGAAGTAACGATAAGGCAATGGTTTTAATCTTATCTTGGTCATAGATTGCTTGTAAGTCCTTTTCAACTTGTTCATAGTCAGGTTTTTTAATTACTCTAATAACATCTCCAGTTATACCCTCAGTCAATTCAGGATCCGAGTTAACGTCGAGTTTTAATTTATCTCCTCCCCCTTCTGAAAATCCAGCAATTGTAACTCTTTCATCAATTTCCAATACCTGATCATACAAGTGTCCTAATTTCTTAGCTGTCAAATCAAAAATATGAGGTCTTGTTTGGTTTCCAATAACTAAAACATCTTTGAATCCTTTAGTAGTTACCAATAAGACATTAGCTCCTTTTCTTTGCAACAATGCATTGGTTGCCACCGTAGTACCCATTCTAATACTTTGAATAAGATCAAGATTTAATTTCTGTCCCATTGGAATATCTTTGCCTGTGACCTTTTCCAATACTCTTCTTATACCTTCAGTTGGAGCATCTCTATAGTTTTGAGGATCTTCTGATAATAATTTAAATACATAATCTGGTTGATTTGGGATTTTAGCAATGACATCACAAAATGTCCCACCTCTATCAATTGCAATTTGAATACCTTTTGTTTGCGACATCGTGATTCAATTGACTTATTGTCTAATACTCTGAAGAAGAACGAAGGAAGGACACTTGATAATTTTAAAGTTCGACACAATTTGGTTTGCTAGAGTTGCGGAATTTAGAGTTTTAATTTTTCAAGGATCCCCTGAGCCAAGGAGATTTGAGGTCAAGAAAAAAGAGATCACGGATTTCTCCACAGTCAATAATAGCAAACAATACAGAGATAACGGAAATGTATGATCGTTTATTAAATGAAAGAAAAGTCTATATAGACAAGCCACTAACTCTATTGGAAAGTTCATCTCGGGTTATATTATTGCGAAATTCGTGGTAAACGGGTTCTCCGTCACTTCCCGTTTCACTTGCATCCTCGTCTTCTTCTTCTTCGTCTTCACTTTCTATAATGTTCCCCAAGGAATCATATCTAACTTCCCTGTCTTCGTCTACATCGTCTTCTTCTTCCTCGTCATCACCACTATCTTCATCGATTTCATTACCTAATGAATCGTACTTTTTCTTCGGTATTTTGTTTCCTAAGTTATCATACTCAGCATCACTTTCGCATTCATCTTCCTCTTCCTCGCTATCCACTTCCTCTTCTGCTGCATCTTTTCTATTAACATTTCCCATCAACCAAATATCATCCACATTATTAACCTGTTCCTTTCTTTCCTTAGCTTCCTTCTCGATCTTGGCCAACCACTCATCTTGTGCCTTGGTTATCGATTCAGTATCAGTACATTTCTGATATAACTGGATCAACTCTTCATTAATCTTCAAAAAAGTCAATCCCCAACTAAAATTCTCCAACAACATCTCAGCCCAGTCGATATGTCCCACAATCGCAAAACAAGCAGCAAGTGCCTCAACACAATTCAATCTCCATGGACGACCATAATTCACCGGATTGGCAGCTACGAGATATGGCAACAATCTCTCATTTCTTCCTCCAATTTTCAGAAATGGAATCTCATCCAATCTCGCCCATGAACATTCAACAACAGCCGCTCCATTTTCTTCTACAAGTTCACGATCATTTGGACAAACGATTGATTTCCCATTAGGTGAAACCACGACCCCTTGGAATTTTTGTCCCACACGGAGATTTTTTATGAGACCTAATCGTTCTAGTTTTTTACCACTACATCTTTTGGGATCACAGTGGTCGAAATCCCACATGGCTAATTTGGTTGGGAATTTCCTGGTTGCGGTTTCAGCGGTGTTTGATGCACCGAGTTCTTGACGACCCTTTCGAATGTGGTGTTGTTTGGACTTGTGACAATTTGATGTACGTTGCTTGCTGGTTGATGATCTGTCTTCGTGAGTTTTATTCTTTCCCTTCCCCATTTTGGTTGTGACTTTGTTGGATAGAATATGATTCTAGATGAGATGGAAATCAAACTTGATAATTTTTTTTTTGAAAGCTGAGTTGAAGCGCATTTGGATGAGAGCGCATCTCACTGCTTACAATAAATTTGCATCCACTCTTGTTCCACTTCTCTAAATCTACAAATGTACGATACAAACACCTCTTTAAAAACGCAAATATGACATTACAAAATTATTTATGTATATAATAAAAATCTTAAACAAAAAATACAAAAACCCAAAAAACCTTTTAATACAAAGAAACGAAAAGAACACAGTAATTTATAAACATTAAAATAGCAACAATGAAGACACCAAGCAATAATCATATGTCTTAGAAATCTTCATCAAATGAAAAGTCATGGTTTGAACTAGTAGGTTCATTATGTTTAGCCATAACACCAGCCTTTTGATAATCAGAAACTCTCTTTTCAAAGAAGTTAGTCTTACCTGCTAATGAAATGTTTTCCATGAAATCAAATGGATTAGTAACATTATAAACCTTCTTATTGCCAAATGCAACTAATAATCTATCAGCAACAAATTCAACATATTGACACATCAAGTTACAGTTCATACCTAATAAACTGACTGGCAACGCGTCAGTGAAGAATTCCTTTTCAATAGCAACAGCTTCAACAATAATCTTTTCAATGATTTCTGGCTCTGGTCTATTTTCTAAATGGGAGAATAATAAGCAAGCGAAATCAGTATGTAAACCTTCATCTCTACAGATCAATTCATTAGAGAAGGTTAAACCAGGCATTAAACCTCTCTTCTTTAACCAGAAGATAGAAGCGAATGAACCACTGAAGAAAATACCTTCAACAGCAGCGAAAGCGACTAATCTTTCAGCGAATAAGGCTTCATCATCAGTGATCCATCTTAAAGCCCAATCAGCCTTCTTTCTAATACAAGGAATGTGATCAATAGCATTGAATAAGTAATCAGCTTCCTTTGGATCCTTGATATAAGTATCAATTAAAAGGGAATAAGTTTCAGAATGAATGTTTTCCATCATGATTTGGAAACCATAGAATGATTTAGCTTCTGGGATTTGAACTTCAGCAGAAAAGTTTTCCACTAAGTTTTCATTAACAATACCATCAGAGGCAGCAAAGAAAGCTAAGATTCTTGAAATGAAGAAACGTTCTTGATCATTTAATTTAACTCTCCAATCATTTAAATCTTTACTTAAATCAATTTCTTCAGCAGTCCAGAAAGAAGCTTCTGCCTTTTTGTAAAATTGCCAAATTTCATGAAATCTAATTGGGAACATGACAAAACGACGTGGGTTTTCTTTTAAGATTGGTTCTTCCTTTTCTAAAGCTTTCAATTTATGACGATGAACTTTATGTTTAGCTAAGAATTCCTTGTGTTCACGAATATATTTGGAATCTTCTGATTCGGTCTTTTCCATTGGAGTAGCATCTTTGGTGGTAGTTAAAGCTTCTTTAGCATGAGCAACACCTTGAGATTCATCCTTTTCTTTCGCTTCAGCAGCTAATTTATCGGTTAATGATTTTCCATTACCAGTGATGGACATATCTAAGTTTGAGATCTTACCTGTTAAACCTTGAGTTGGGGTATCTTTAATTGACATTATTGACGTGTACGTGATTTATGATTGATGAGATGATTAAATAAAAATTAAAGAAAAAAATATCTAAAGGAAATAAAAATCTATTTTTGAAGGGAAATATGATTTGCTTTTATATAATTTCAAATTTGAAAAGTGTAAATCAGTTTATATGAATTTCCCGATTAACGGATGCTTTTGCGTTTAAAAAAATGTAAACAACCAGCAGGAAATACAACTAAGCTTATAGCCTTTCCTTTGTATATGAAATTTCTTCTAATACTTTAAAATATAAAAATTGCAGAAATTTTCGTGCAATTTGCAGTTTGATCTAATTTTTACAGTTTTACGTCATTTTTGGAATAATGCGCGTTCCATGTGAAGTCAACCCACGTCAAATCCTGGAATTTAAACAAATCGTTAGGTTGATTTCTCTGATGTTAGATTTTATAGTTCAATGTTGCAATCATAATCACGAGATATGACTTTCTAATCTTTGGATATTGAAAAATCAAATTCAATTGTGCAATACGAGTCTATTTAGAAACAGGCTTCCCAATTGCAAACCTGTAAATTGTGAATAATACACGTTAACAAAAAAGTTTAAAAAAAATATCGTGTTTATGAATTTCCCAAATTAAGAAAGACGCGTTTTTAGGAAACAAAGTATTTTGTGATTATTGGCTATAGAGTCAATCACCGAGTTTGACACAGAAACACGCTATTGCAACATTATGCACAAAGTAGCCCACACACGTCGAATTGCGATACACGGAAATAGTCACGCGCTATAAACATTAATGTGAAACATTTACACGTACACGTCTCTATAAATTATAGTGTATCTTAAACATCTAAGTCTTAGAAATTGTATCGTAAATCACACCAGATCCTTCTACGCCCTTTTTACGAACTAAATTTGAGTTTAACTATTGTTCGGTTTTAGTCGGAGATGCTTCATTAACAGCGAGATAGGTAAATATTTATTTTGGCTTATTTTAATAACCGAGATTGATATACACATTTCCAAGTGTAAATCCGAATGGTACAGCTTAGCTGCAAAGCAATCAAAATAATCTCCGAATACTGGCCAATTGTTCAACCCATACAGCTCTACTTCTAGGAAGATGGTTGCTTAACCAGTAATTCATGTTTGCTGAGTGATGTAAGAGTGCATTCTATTTACCGATTCACAGAAATCTTTTTCCATATCTGCGATACAAGTTTGCGATCCGGTTCCTGAAATCATATGACAAGATTTGGTATTCGAAGGGGATATCAAATCTGATCTGACAATAGTGAGATCCACAGATTTCTCCAATTCGATTTCCCACTATCAGAAACACCTTCACTACATCTCTTTAATACAAAATACATAATCACCATGCTCGTATATTCTATAAAAATTCATAATACAAATAAAAGAAAGACAATCTCTCATAAACACACGAAAGCATACATCGTTCACAATACAAAAAAACCTTCAACTTTATCTACTCATTGGAGTTCCCTCAATAAGTTCCCCACCAAACTTTTCTCCAAAATCAAGCCCCACACCTAATCCATTCACATCAAGTTCACTACCACTTCCACTCCTACTTCCACTACTCCCACTATTATTTGCCGGCATAGCAATAATTGGCGAACTAATATCATCAAACGAAATATCCAAATTATTATACAACTTCGAAATATCGCCATATCCTCTATATCCCCTCCCCTCACCACTACCACCAGTACTCTTCTTCTGTAACTCCCCAATCCGTTCTCCAAACACCCGTTGCCATCTTTCATCATTCAACCCATCCTCATCCCCCACCCCGCCAGACAATTTCGCAAAACATTCACCGGCTTCCAGGCGGGATAAATATTGATAATGAGGCAATGAAGGCATTCCAAACAACAAGGATTCCATATCGGTTTTATCACTATTCAAAAAGCGTGGTCTTCCATACAATTTAAACGCATCAATCATGGGAATGAAATTTCGAATCATGGTTTCAATGGCGGAGACTCCAGGATGGGAGATTGGCATAATATACATTGAATTCGTGATTACGAAATCCTGGGCCAATTTCTTCTTTTTGAAGAAGGAGGAAGAACTACCTGAACTGGTATTGGAGGCATTTGAGTGGGAACGGAATCTGCCACCGGTGGCAGCTGTGGTGGGTGGTGATGATGGGGTAGCGCGGGGTGAAGCGGTAGCATTGGTGAAGAATGAGTTTGTGGAATTGATGGAACTGGTTCGAGTGTGTTGGTGGTGGTTGGTGGTCAGGGGTGATGATGCTCGTGGGATTGATAATAATGGAGTTCCTGTTAAGGAGGTGAATGAGCTTGATTTATTGATTGGCTTTGGGGTAGGACTAGATAGTGTTTCTTCGATTGCTGGTGGTGATACTGAATCTGGATTGTATGAGAATAAGTGTTCATAATTCTTGTTGATATAGATTTCACCTCTAATATTCATAATTGAATTAAAATCAATCATATTTGCTTGTTCTGGATATACGTTATAGATATGATCTGATGAAGATACATAAGCAATCATATTCTTTTTATTTAATTTCTTATCAGTAAGATAAATTTCAATTCGACCTAAATGATTTTTATCACTTGGTAAAATAATCAAGAAAACCTTATTCCATTTTGAACTAACTTGAGGTAATCTAATATTACACCATTCATATTTAGGATATCTCTTCTTCAGGGAAAGTAATACATGAACATCCAGTAATTTTGGAGCTTTTGAAGATAAAACCACAGCAGTGAAAGCTTCATTTAATTTAACATATTCAAATTTACAAAGTAAAATTGCACTCATCCATTTATTAAATTCATCTTGATTTGGGAAACGAATTAATAAACTTGATTCTTCTTGAAAATCTTGATATATCCGAACTTGTAATTCATCAATCAATTCCAATTGACAATCAATAAGATTGATATATTTTGGTTTAAAATCGTCTTCACTTTCAATTTGATGAATTGATAATTCATTCCCAGTTAATTTTGCATCTACCAATATCCAAGGTTTATCAGATTCAGCAATTTCAAAACTTCCAATACAATATCCTCTTAATTTTTGAGCATGAATAAGATTTAAAATTGGATGAAATTCATTAGGTAACATTTCAATTTGTTGTTTATTTTGTAAAAGTACTGATCTTCCAGAAAGAGAAACTGAAAGTGAATTACTTGAACCATTTTCTCCAGTAAATATTCTACTCTGACGTACAAATGAAGGTGGAGTAGACTTGATCTTTTCTGATAAATTACGTCTATGAGAAATAGGGGTTTGAGTTTCAGAACGTGCATATGCAACACCACCAATAGTATCAGATGCGTCGCCACTAGAAGAAGATGAAAAGCGTGATTCTTCTGAAGGAACGACATTTGTTGTGTTTAAGTTGGGGATTGATTCTGGCGTGATGCTAGGTGAGTCAATGTCCTCTTCAGGTGGGAGTTCATTAAAGTCATCAATCATATGCATATAACATACTGGAGAGTTTAATGAACTGGCTGATACATTTCTTCTTATTTTCCATGGACGGGACATAGATTCAGCGTTTAATTCCTCAGCAGTTGTAGGTGGGTTAGCTAATGGAGATGAAGGACGATTGATATGGGGTGGTGATGTCGGTGACGACATCTGTTTCGGTTGAGAATCTGACTTTGGTGAGTGTACATATCCATGATATTCTTGTTGATGCGTGGTTGATGATTCTACGTTGTGATGTTGATGATGTTCGGAGATGGGTACTTTTGGAGTAGATGCTGGTGACTTAGGGTCTTGTGACTTTAGTGGTTGTTGTTGAGAAGACACAAGTGCATCTAATTTTGTGTCTTTATACTTTGTGAATAGCTTCTTAGGTGAAAGAGTCAACGGCATTGAATTGTACTATGGAAATATTTAAAATAAAAAAAGGTAGTGAGCCAAAAAGATTGCAAATCAAAAATTTAAAGTTATTTAAAAAGTCATTTAGAATTAAAGGGGAAAAGGTGTGTGGTTTTTTTGAATAAAATGAAAATTAATTGGGAAAGTCCGATGACGTTAATTCATTATGTCATTGATTATTTGTGTATTATTATTTTTCTAGACCGCAACGAAAAAGCTTAGAACTTTAAAATTAATAAAAAAAAAATAAAAATTATTTTTAGAATTTTAATGAAACTTTCATTTTGGCTTTTCTTCTTTCATTCAACCCTTTCCCTTTGGTCGTTTAGAAGTGTAATAAAAAAATTTTCAAATAGATTTCTATTAATAGTCGTGTAAATATTACAAATTGACTAAATTATAAATATATATTAGTCATTCCATAGATTAGATAAGTTTAATCTTGGGGTAAAATGCAGCAATCATGAAATATATGGTTAGCACGGAAGTGGAGTATGTGCGGTCATACGTATGTATGTACATGGTAATTTGGTTTCCTAAATGGGAAGTATCCGAGATTTCCATTGGAAAAAAATAATTCTTTATTGTTTCCTACGCATTTCTTCTTATTGTATTATAAATTCCTTAAATAAATGGGGAACCAATGGAAATGTAACGATTCACATCGGTTGATGTCATATTTTAGATAATATTAATCTTGAAAAGCCTACAAATAGTACCAAAAAAATTTATATGAAGCCAATATATGTAAATAATAATTGAAGAGGTGCAGTTAAAACTTGAACTTCTATTTTATTTATTTATTAGTAATCATTTATCAATAATTATCAATAACCATATTTCTATGCATAGGTCTATTATTAGAATAATTTGTATGTGACAATGAAAAATCTCGGCAATTGAATAAATTTGAATGTCAAGTCAACAAAATATATTCTATTTTAATTTGGTTTAATATTTTTTATTTTTTTATTTTTTTTCCATTGTTTGGCTTGTCGTATAAATTTTCCACCTCCCTTATTTTTTCTTCTTCTACACCTTCTTTCATTGTAGATTATCCTAATTGTTCCATTATTCATCCCAATTCGGTCTAATTAATAAAAATACTTACTAACCCCCTATACATAGATATTCAACTCAAGGCTATGTACGTACAATTGCACATTTATTTACTTCAATTACAGTTTTCTACTTTAAACTTTGACCCTGAATAACACCACTGCACTGCCCCTCCACTCTCCAGGTTTTATTCTTTTAAATCAATAATAAATCATGGCTTAAAATTTATTCGCTTTATTGCTCCCTCTTTATTGAAATCTTATCTAAATATAAATGAGAGTAACTTGAATCCCCTTTGAGATTCAAACTTTTTTTTGTGCCTTGGAAAACTATAAAATTATCCCTGATTTTTTGCACTGTCAATCAAGATTAGTGGCGATTTGAATTCTCGCGGAATTGTGTCTCTCCACATGACTCTTCTCTAGACCATTTGATTATCGCAAACGAGATGCCCCTAACCCGAGCAACCGAGACGCCATAACCCGAGCAACCGAGATCGGTAAATAAAGCAACATTTTGTGTTATAATAAACGCAATTGGTTGCTTTACAATCAAAAAATAAGAGCAATCAGATAAGATTTATCGTCTAAAAGCAATTCAAAATCGCAACCAAAACCTAAATATTTGCTCTCTTTAACGTTGAACAGTCAACATATCCTTTTGAGACTTTTCTCGTATTTGGTTCTTGTTCTGGTTCTTTGAAGGGAAGATTTTCGTGGTACTTTGTCCAAATTTGAAAGAAGAAGGATTTGCTAGAAGCTATTCGGTAGTAATTTGGTTAAAATTATCAAAAATTTGACGTCTATCAGGAAACGATCCCACAATGTACGTCCTAACTAGGTCTTCACCCGATTCTCTTAGTTAGACATTGTATTGTCTACCCCAACTCTACAGTAGGACAACAATAAAACGGTCCTAAAGGGTACATTTTATGTAGAAACATATTTTTGCAACCAATTTTTGAATTTGTGTTCATTGCGCAATTTGACAACACCAAAAAAAAAAAGCCTCAAATTTTTGTTGAATTTACAACTCATCCATTTCTTACAACCACACAGAAACATTGCCTTTGTTACTTTCAAAATGGGAGAAGGACACTTCTTAGATGTTGTTCCTATACCTAAAAATAACATTGAACCATCTTACAAATTCTTAAATGATGAATTATTTGTTAAATTAGATGGAGTTAGTAAACAAACTTTAGGTAATGAATTTAGAAATATATCAGAAAAGAAAGCTCATATTATAAATTCATTTATTCAACAATTCAAATTACATATTGGTGATGATTTATATCCTACTGCACGATTAGTATATCCCGACAAAGCTGGTAGATTGTATTATATTCGAGATGTAACATTAGCGCGATTAATTATTAAAATGTATAATATCCCTAAGGAATCAGAAGATCATCATATTTTATATAATTGGAAATTACAATATCAAAAGACAAAAAGATTTACAGTTGATGTTGAAAAATTACGTGATTTACCATTACAAGCATCAAGAATCATTGCAAATAGAAGAAATTATATGAGTGAAACAAAAGAATATACCATAACTGAAATTAATAATAAACTTGATGAATTAAATAATGCCAAAAAATCAGCAGAACAAATCGAAATCTTAAAACCTTTATTTGATACTTTGACAATCCCAGAAGTCAGATGGTTATTTCATATAATCTTGAAAAAATCAATCTTGGGAAGATTTGAAAATTATTTTTTGAATAGTTGGCATCCTGATGCAAGTCGTGTCTATATGATTTGTAATGATTTACAAAAGACGGTAAATTATTTACTTGATCCAAATAAACGCGTAGATCCGAAATTATTATGTATACATCCAACATATAGGTTCAAACCACAATTAGCACAAAAATTGACTAAAAGTTATGATAAAACCGTGAAAGATTTACAAAAATTAGTAGATATGGATCCTCAAACTTCAGAATTATTTGAAAAATTAGATCTTGAAAATAAATTTTATATTGAAGAGAAAATGGATGGTGATAGAATGGTCTTGCATAAACAAGGTAAGAATTTCAAATTTTATTCAAGAAGATTAAAAGATTATTCATTTTTATATGGAGAAAATTTAGAATTTGGATCCTTGACTAAATATTTACAAAATGCGTTTCCAGATAATGTCCATTCAGTTGTATTAGATGGAGAAATGGTTGCATATGACTATAAACGGAAAGCAATTCTTCCATTTGGAACTTTAAAATCACTGGCCATTCAAGAAAGTGTTAGACAATATACCACTATTGACCAATATGATAATCAATCTTCATATCCATATTACCTTATTTTTGATATTCTTCATCTTAATGGACGAAATCTAACCAATCACCCATTATTCTTTCGGAAAAATGTCCTTAGCAAAATAATCAATCCAATTCCTCATAGATTCGAGGTTCATGAAGCGAGAATCGGTTCCTCCGTCGAAGATATCAAAAAGGCAATTCGTGACATTGTTAAAACCAGAAGTGAAGGATTAGTATTAAAACACGTCCAACTGAAATATTTAGTCGGATTTCGCAACCCACAATGGATAAAATTAAAACCCGAATATTTAGAAAAGTTCGGTGAAAACCTTGATCTTACCATCATTGGTAAAATCCCCGGTGTGAAAAATTCATACATGATGGGACTTAAGAATGAACCAGATGGGGCATTTTATAGTTTTGTTCAAGTTGCGAATGGATTCACTAATGATGAATATGATAAAATCGAACGGTTAACTCACGGGAAATGGATCAAGACAAAAGTACAAACCCCACCTCAACTGGTTATAAAATTCGGTACACGACAACCTACATATTGGATCCACCCGCGAGATTCACTCGTGTTGGAAATAAAAGCCAGATCTATAGATACGTCACTTGAGAAGACGTACGCGGTTGGATCGAGTTTACATAATAATTATTGTCGAAGAATTAGGGAGGATAAGACGGTACATGAGTGTGTTACCATGCAAGAATATTTGGAAATTAAGGCGAGATATCTGACTGAATTGAATAAATCACAAAATGCAGTATTGAAACGGAAACAATTACGTAGTCTTGGGTCATTTCTGGATGAACCCCTATATAAGAAAGTCAAGATTGAATCTAATTTATTTTCAAAATTTAATTTTATTATCGTGAGTGATAAAGTTGATCAAGTCACGGGAGAACGGACCAGTCGTGAAGAATTGATGAAGTTGGTGAAGAAATTTGGTGGGAAATTGATACATGCTATCGATATCCTATCAGCCGATCATACCGTTATTATAACTGAGAAAAACCTCCCACTTTGTGAACAATACACTAGTAAAGGAATTGATCTAATCCGACCCCGGTGGATATTTGAATGCATTAACCGAAATCAAATCGTTCAATTAGAACCATGTTTTATATTCAGTACTCCAGATTGGGACCGTTTCGAACGAGGTAAAATCGACGTCTATGGAGATTCATACGTTATCCATCATCCAATTACCGGCTTATCCATCCCTCTCCTATCCCCTGAACAAATCAATCAGGCTAGAGATGTACATGCTGATGAATGGGGAGAAACATTACCCAAATTATATCTATTCTATCAATTACGATTCTTTGTGGTCGGACAAGGAATGGCTAGTGATATGCTCAAAGATCGGATTGAGAGATATAATGGAGAAATCAGTGACAAATATTTGGATGTTTCATATATTGTTATACCTAGATGGCAAGATGAACATAACCGAGACGTTATTATGGATATTGTGAATGAAATTTCGAGTACTATTAGTAAAGAATTGAAATTTGGAGCTGAGCTGTTAGTCACGAGATTGCCTAATATTGTGAATCAGGGATTTGTGGACCAGTGTATTAAGGAGAATACGATTGTCGATCCTGAGGATTTTAAGTTTTATTGAATTTTTTTTTGTGTTTTTGCAGCCATATTTTTTGTGGTGCCGGTTCCTAGAAGAGCTGCTTTTTGGTATGGAATGGGAAAGGGATGACTTTTTTAATAGAGTATGTAATGGGAAAGGGATGACTTTTTTAATAGAGTATGTAATGAAGTAATGACAATGAAAATATAAATATCATGTGTCATGGATGTTTTTATACGTGGGTGATATTTTGTTCTATTATGGGGTTTTAGAAGATTATTTACATCTTATAAAGCCGTCGAAATGATCATCTACCATTTCAAAATAGACTAAAATATCATCTATGTACGAAAACAGACGTCTCTCACTAGGGAATCTACGATAAGGGGCCATTTTAAACAAATACGAAACTGCCATATGGGAGAATTGTATGTCAGATCTCGCGGAAATATGTTATCGTCCGTTTTTGCGACAAGGACTCGTATAATCGTTTCTTTTGTGGAGAACAGGAGAATTTTTTTTATCTTTTGTGATGAGACAAAAGGCTGATCTAAAATCGATTTTTGTGCTTCTTTTGATTGATTCTTGATCCGGTTGGATGTGATGATGTTCACACAATAACATATCTAGTATCTCACCCATATACCATGCGTACTCGTACTTCAGTCACAATCCACAACTTCTTCGAAAAACATCATCTGATAACATTCAGATTAGGTTGGGCATCTTTCATAATATGTCTAAGTGCACTACAATTTGGATATCACTTGGCTGAATTAAATGCCCCAGCAGATATCCTTTCATGTAATTTCGATAAACCTGGTCCCTTACCTAGCTATGACGATACTATATGGTCACAATACAATTTCAAACAATGCATACCGATGTCGGAAGAGGGTGTTGCATTGATAACTACCCTGTATACCATTGGTGGTTTAGTTGCTTCGGTGATTTTGGGCTCAACTTCGATCTCGATGGATTATGGAAGAAGATCGGTGTGTATTTTTGCATCGTTGTTTTTCGTATTGGGATCCCTGCTTATGGTTATGGCAAACTCTGCCTGGATGATTAACTTGGGTAGGTTTTTTAATGGGGCAGGTGCTGCAAGTTCATTAATCATGTCACCGATTTTGATAAATGAATTAGCACCCGTTAATCATCGAGGATTATTAGGTGCATTGATGCAGATTGCTGTTTCTATTGGGATTTTTTTGGCACAATATGTTTCATATTTTTATTCAAATGATCAACAATGGAGACAAATTTTTGTGGTGGCGGTTATGATCGCGTTGATTCAGTTCTTGGGATTGTTTTCTATTCCTGAATCTCCAAAATGGATGATTATGAATGGAGGGGATGAGGATTTGGCAAGATCAACGTTGTATACTTTGAGGACTAATATTACTACCATAGAATATGAGATACATCATTGGCATCATTTAGCCAAAGGTACACAATCCCCGGATGAAAATACACCATTATTGGAAGAAGATGCGACTTCCGCCGTTGATTCAGATGGTTCATCAATCTCGAGTAGGAAATCTCTAGATCCTCCACTGATTACAATTACTGATTTCTTATTTGAGCATAAATACAGAAAACAATTAATCTCGGTGATCTTAATCATGACTGGACAACAACTTCTGGGTATGAATGCAATCACATATTATGGGGTCAAGATCTTAAACACCTTATTCAATAATCAAGGCTCAGGTGGTGGTAATTATGTTCTTGTCTTGACATGTGCATTCTCGGGCGTGAATGTTATCAGTTCTATTCTGGCCGCTCCATTGATTGATAGATTAGGTAGAAAACCTTTGTTGCTAGCTTCTATTGGATTATGTGGCTTATGCTCACTAGTATTGGCAATTGGTATCCCAAACAAGTACGACGTTGCCGTCATAACGGCGTGTTTTGGGTTTATTATTGGGTTCTCAATTGGGTTGGGTCCACTTCCATTCTTAATGGTTTCCGAATTGACCAGTCATGAGGTTGTATCGTTGGCACAATCATTTGGAACTGTTACCAATTGGACTGCAAATATGATGGTAGCGATGTTATTTCCATTGTTGCAAAATTTAATTGGTGGAACTGTGTTTTATATTTTCTTTGCTATTTCCGTGGCATATTTGGTTGCATTTTATTATAAAATTCCAGAAACTAAAGGATATCATCATTCTTCAGATGTTTGGGAACATTATTAGTTTAGTAATTACTGGAAAATGACATGCAGTTTCGTTGGACATTTCGACAAGTCTACTATTTGCAACCGAATTTATTTATATCTCTGGTGTTTCCGTGTATAGAAATTAATAGAAATCATTTACGATATAGTTAGCCTGTAGAGTTACTTGTTGCGTTGTAGATGCGGGAGTCGATGAAGTATAGCTTCGAGTCCTTAGGGACATTTAGAACATTTCAAGAAAAGCTTCCCTGTATGCTTTTGTTTTTTTCTTTAACAAAAAATCGTGCAAGCTTTATTTTTAAAACAAACTATTTATATACACTCCTACATATCTCTATCTCCTATAAATCCAAAAAACTCCTCTTTCTTCTCAACTTTTTTTGAACCACCTTGCACGACCTCTCTTCAATAATCAGCAGACATCTTCAAAAAAAAAAAAAGATTGGTTCATAACATTGGATTTAAAATTTTTATTTTTTATTTTTAATATTGGTTTTATAAACATAATTGGTTTTGAGTGTAACCAAGATATTCGTGTGTTAGATTGATATACCCTAACGGCTATCCCCTTATCGGTAATTTCGCTGATGTGATTTTGATGAAATCTATGTTCTTTCCATAAGTTGAAAATGACTTTAAGGAATTTGTTGGTTCTTTTATATTGTTTAATGTGGCGCCCTACCGGAGCCACGAGAGGTTGGTCCAATAATCAGTTCATCATTGTAGTCATCAGTAGTTGATCACAACACATTAAATTGATTCGTATTCGTATGAGTTTCAGTGGGGTTTAAAGTTGATTTGAGAGTTTTGGTAGGTAATGGCTATTCAGTGGTCTTCTTAGTCTTTGCAATAGTTCCGTTATCGTTGGATGAGGTTTCTTGAGATACTTTTGAAAGTTTTCAGACATCTAGAGAATTTGATTACTCAAAGAATAATTGAGTGTTTTGAAATAATCTAAAAATTTATCTACTTCATGGATAACTAAGTAGCCAAGGAAAGTTTTTTTTGGTTTATGAGAGTGGTAATATTGATGGAAATGGAAAAAAATTTCTGGTTGACCATAATCCTTAATAATTAAAAGAATATCAGTATCATCATTAAATTCGGAAAAAGTTTTCGAGATATTCACAACATCTTTATACTTGTTGACAAAATCATCAAAGGAATCATTATCAGGAAGTACAACTAAATTGAAATATTTATTGAATTGAATTTGATTACCCCTATATAATGTAGCATTATTAACTATGGGATTCATATAGGAATACAAAAGATCATCATCATTGGCAACTGAAAGTAATAAATTGTCATTAATCTGGTGTGTCCCGCAAGATGGCACCAATTACAGTACTTAAAATACGAAGCTATTTTAACAGTTGAATTCCTGAAATAATGCTCTTTAAAGACATTCCAATCAATGAAAACTATGTGAATTCGTTTCATCTAATGGTGGTAAGCCTTGGATGGCATCGTTAATCCCGGCATTCATATGTGGTTCAATTCGGTAGTTGCAATCTTGAAATAGGACTCGTCGATGTGTGTGGTAAGACTATAAAACCTTAAAAGAGCAGATTTTCATATGGAGTCTTATGTGGAAGCATACGATCAGATGAAAATTTTCGAGGCAAAATGTTGAAGATATAAGTAGCAGTAGAAACAGCTTCCGACCACAATCCAAATGGAGCACCAGCTTGATGTAATAACGTACGAGCAACTTGTTTGATAGATCTGTGAGTCCTTTCAGCCAAACCATTCTGGTAAGAATGGTGAGGTCCACTAAGGTTATGATGAATTCCACGAAGATTTAGCTCTTGCAATAAACGATGATTGACAAATTCAGAGCCATTATCCGATTGTAGAATTTTCACCGTATTACCGTATGGGTTTTGATTCAGAACTAAACGAATGACAGTAATAATGAGGGATGCACATTCTTTAGTAGATTTGATTGGATAACAGTAAATATAACGAGAAGCATCATCAACAATTGTTAAAAAATAAGATTCACCAGTAGCAGAAGTAGAAATGGGACCACATACATCCACGTGTAATTTTTCACCAACAGAATATAAAACAGAATGCAAAGTAGTAGATGGTATATGAACTAACAGTTTATTCAGATTACAAGCATCACAGGAAGAACAATCAATGGGGATTCCTAAACCACGAAAATAAGTTTTAGCATAAGATCCAGGGTGGCCAAGACGGCAATGAAATAAATTATTTGCGATGCCTCGCTTCAGTGGCAGAATGAGCAACTTCTGGTGGTAATAAACTGTATAAATTGGATGCATTAAGTGGAGCAATCAAAACCGGTGATGAATTAGCCGAAGAAACAGTACAACCTTGAGCATTGAAACTGAACGTAAATCCTTGTTTAGCAGCAGCAGACACTGAAATTAAGCTAACAGAACCGTTTGGAGTGTAATAAACGTTAGTGAGTTTAATACGACCAGCCTTTGTAGGGATACGAACAGTACCATTTCCTTCAACATGGAGAATTGAACCATTTGCACAATAGATATTGGATTTAAAAGTTTTATCTAATTCATCAAAATAGCGGGAATCACAGATTAAGTGTTTTGTAGCCGCAGTGTCTAAATGAAGTGATATGTTTGCAGCTTCAGATACCATTAATGCACGGTCAATGTAAGCAATAGCAGACCATGCTTTTTCAGATTCATCAGATTGGTCACCAGGTTTTTCAGAAGCACTATGGGCAGATTGAATCGTCGTCAGCAATAATTAAAAAATGGGATTCACCAGTACCAGAAACAGGAATTGGACCGCAAACATCAACATGTAACTTTTTACCAACTGCGACATTGCTTCAGACCTGTCCAAACGAAGATTTTGAAGATTGCTGGTGGTGCAGATGCAACTATGTAGATGAGAATTCATCGATCGAAGTTCGGGACTCCTTGCTTGCCCTTACAAATCATCATGCATTGTAACCAGGCATAAAAGGTACGTCCTTAGTATTACTTGCAAAATTCATGAACACCTATTACGGTTCTGAGATATCTTCATTGGTTGGCCAACAGAAGGTGTAGTTGACATGGTGAGGGTTAGTGGTTGATAATTTGTTTTCCAATGATCACACCACATTTTGTAAGTTCCATGCAATATTTCACAATAGATGTAAGCTAAGTTTGCTATTTGCTTGCGGCATCGATCATAGGTCAAGACATACATCGAATCCAACAACGTAATAAAAATGTCCATGTTAACAGAGCCGGTGCAGCGGCCTTTAGCCAGGCTGAATCCAGTACCAAATACGGTGTTTTCTTCCCAAATATTAATTTCAGGACAGTTATTTCGAATTAAAATCATCAATGAGATTTCTACAATGGGTATCATCTAAAATATCTGCAACCTTCCGACTTAGTCATAAATTCCAACTTGAAACTGTCCATGAAAGTGCTTAAAATTTTGCGTATTGATTATCCCTTGTCGTGTCTAAATCCACGCACGACTACTGCTTTATAGAGTTGTGGTTACAGTTGTTCTAGTATCAACCACCCGTAACCCTCCGGAGTGGTAATCGCACATGGCTTTGGAAACCTCGGGGGATAATCAATCCAAAATAAGAACGTATACTTCTGCTCAAGACATTCGTATGTTAACGATCTTGGCGCTGATTCATACAGCTGGAATGACGGCGGTCCTTCATTTGGGTACTGTTCCTTCGGGATCGTAAAAGTTACCTTTATCTTCCTTTAACAATCCCTTCTTGATTAACGATGTTTTAATCTTACATTCAGGAGATTTGTGCTTAGTATTTCCACATACCCAACACCTAATGTCCTTTGATTCAGTTCGTGCAGCCTTCTTATTCATCTTAAGTTCATTCTTAAAGTTCATTATTGTACTAATTGCGTTGGAAACAACACTATCAAAGGCTCTCCATAACTTTAAATAATTTCCTTTAAAATGTCTCACAATGGACTCAACAGGAGAGTCCGAAGTTTGGTTTTGTAATAAAATAAAAGACGACCTTGCTTGTACCTGACTCCATAACTGTAATAATTTTGTTTCAAGTCGGGTAATTCTTAATGTCAGTTGGTTCATACTTTAATTGTTAATTAATATGTAAAGACTATAAACTATAAATTAATCTATAAAACGATTACTTTCTTAACTTTTTATATCTTGTACAAGACAACTCGTCAATTTCGACAACTTAGACGAGTAATTTAATGACTCATAATTTCACGTGTTCTATACGAAATGTTCTTTCACACTCTCAGTAATTCGTCATTACAACATCCTCCCTGAAATGAACATTAGTAGGGACTCTTCTTCAGATACTCCCTCATTCCAAGCAACCTCAACTGATTCTTATGTATAGGAGCAGTAAGTGATTTAGTAAGTATGTCAGCTCTCATTTCTCTCGATGTAGCATACTTTACTTGAAAGTCTTTAGCTTCAATATGATCTCTAATAAAGAAATGTTTAATTTCAATGTGTTTAAGTTTTGAAAGACTAGTAGAATGATCAACTATAGCAATAGTACCTTGATTATCACAGTACAATATTCTTTTGACAGGAATTTCCAATTGTTCAAAGATTTGTTTCAACCATATCATTTCCCTACCAGCTTCTCCTAATGCGTACAATTCAGCTTCAGTAGTAGATTGACTAGTAGCAGTTTGTAATTTAGATTTCCATGTAATTGGACCATTAGCAAACCAGAATATATATCCTCCAGTAGATTTTCTACTATCCTTTTCACCAGCCCAGTCTGAGTCTGAATATCCTTTTTTTTTTTCAAAACACAGCATATATTTATTAAAATAAATTAAATATTTCTATACATAATTAAATAATAAAAACTGTTATATGGAGGAAAGTAATATCCTTTAAGAACTCTGGGTCCGTTAGTTGTAATAGAAGGTGAGTATTTTATCGAGAGTTCACGTGTACCAGCAATATAACGTAACACTCTTTTAGCTGCCATAAGATGACTTTGACGTGGAGACTGCAAGTAGTGAGATAGCTGACTAATGGAAAAGGCCAAATCAGGCCGAGCAGTATTTGCTAGATAAAGTAACTTACCAATTAGACTTCTGTATTCAGTCGGTTGTATTAAGGGATCACCAGGTAAATTGGACTGAAGAGACATTCCAGGTGCAAAAGGTGTTTCAACTGAGTTCACCTTCATGGGATCAAGATCAAAGGCTTTGAATATAGACTCAATATAGTCAGAAGCACCAACAACAATACCATCCTCCCTTTGCTCCACATTAAGGCCTAGAAATTTGGAGCAAACACCAAGATCCCGCATTTTAAAGCAAGCCAGAATACGTTGCTTAAATTGAGTAATCACCAAAGAAGACGAACTAGCAATAAGTAAGTCATCAACATAAAGGCCAACCATAATCATGTGACCAGTTACACGAGCAACATAAAGACATTTCTCTGAGGGAAGTGGACGAAAACCAAATGATCGAAGTGTAACATCAATAGTACGATGCCAGGCATTGGGAGCCTGCTTAAGACCATAAATAGATTTCTTTAGACGTAAAACCTTATGTGGAAAACTAGGAGAAACATAACCAGTAGGTTGAGTCATGTAAAGTTCCTCCGTTAATGGAGCATTAAGAAATGCAGTGGAGACGTCCATCTGATGGACAGTGAGCCGAAATTCAGCTGCTAAGTCCATATTAGAACTTTTACATGTGGATCTTTGTGGTCCTTTTGATCTTTCTATAGATGGGTATTCGTATTTCTTAACTACAATAGATGATTTTACTCGTTATGTTGTTGTTATTCCCCTTGTGTCACCTTCGGACACTGTTTCTGCTCTTAAGACGTTTATTACTCGTGCTAATCTGCAGCACTCACCACACCGTGTGCAGCGGATTCGGTCTGATAATGGATCTGAAATTCACACTCTCAGTAATTCGTCATTACAACAATAACTATAAATAGACGACGTACTCCCTCTCACTTCTCTATATTTATGCTAATACGACAACAACTACACTATAAATGACTGACAATTATCTTCCAATATTGTAACTTCCAAGAGCTGCAAAAATCCACCTGACCGAGGAATTTCTTGTTATGGACTTAAATCCATTCATTGAAGAGTAAATCATTGTTACTAGAAAAATTTTGATATTTGAAACCAGACTTTTCAATACATCTTTTAAACGATCGATTTCAAAAACGTCTATTTTCTGAAAATCTTCGCGGCAACGTTCCATTGCATGAACTCGCTTGTTAGATTTTTCCCAATTAGGAAGATGCATGGAAAAATGAAGAAAAAATTCCTGCATATCCCTTAATTCCCTTTAACCCCATACTTAAGAAAAAGAACAACCTGGAATTTTCAATGAGAAGGTTATCCCAGCGCTTCATTCATCGCTCTCTCCTATATAACAACTTGCTATTTCCATTTGACTTTTTTTCTATACTCAAGCCACTAAATATACAATTGCTCTATAAATTGCTAAACAATGGTTAATTATCAAACTTGGTTAAAGGAAATTGACGACAATACCAGACTTTCTAAATTGTCAATCCCAGGAACTCACAATTCTGCAGCTTGTCACACTGCATTACCTTCTGTTAGATGTCAAGGTGAAAGTGTTACGAAACAATTGGAACACGGTGTTAGGTTTTTAGATGTTCGTGTTGGGAAATTATTTGTTGGTAATGATGTAAAAGATTTACAAGTCATTCATGGAAAATTCCCAGTTAAGATTCCATTCCCCTTGAAATTGTCGACTACTTTGGAAGAAGTGTATGCGTTTTTGGAATCAAATCCTTCTGAAACTGTTTTCTTGTCATTGAAGCAAGAAGGCTCAGATGATTGGGATAATGAACATGATGAATTTGGTAATTTGATTTGGGATAAGTATGTTAATCCTAATAAGGATAAATGGTATTTGAACACTGATATTCCAAGACTTGGTGATGCTAGAGGGAAAGTAGTCTTATTCAGAAGATTTGGAGTTAAGGATGAACAAAGACTGAAAGAATTTGGATTTAGTGCAGATTGGTGGTCTTATAATACAACCGATGAAGATCGTGGTCAATATGTTGTTCAAGATTTTTGTGAAGTTCAGACTGCTGATGATTTACCTAAGAAGATTGATTATGTGAAAAAGTTTGCGAAGAGAACCGAAGATTATACTAATGGTAGCGATGATAAATTGTTTCTTAATTTCACTTCATCTTCCAATTTCTTTGATAAACAATGTTGGCCAGAAGCTGTTGCTAAAGCTATGATTAAGGGTGGACTTGGGGATACCATTAACAGAGGTGTTGGTATCATTATTTTGGACTATGCTGAAAGTGATGATTGGAGCTTAGTTAAGAAATTAGTTGATTCCAATTTTTAAGAAATGGACTCTCTGTTTTACACTATGTTTATGATATGCCTATTTGTTTTTGTTTATAGTTTGATGTATTAACCCTATTTCTTTCTACAAGACAGAGAACTGTAACATCTCTTGTTCCCTCTAAGATACCTTGCATCCTTTCTCATTCGCCTGTTGATGAATTTGATTGGTCTCATTTGAAATCTGGAGAATATTTTTTCCCACTATAAACAACAAAATTTTCAAGGTGGTTGAATCAACTTCGACATGTCCGTTCTTCCCCCAACCCATATAATTAAATATTAGTCATGATTTCTCGAGGAATTCTAATATGTAGTCGAACAGTGGTACCGAGAAGAATATGCCCAATTAGTATGACCCAATTCATACGATATCAATCCCAGAAAAAACCACCATCAAATTTTAGAGATATTGCAGACATAAAAGATCAAAAATTACGAGACATAATAGAAGGTACCAATCTCGGACAAGAAGCTTTGAAGAAGGAACAAGAAGAGAAATCAGCGAAAGAAAAAGATAGTCGAGAAGACGAAATCCGAAAAAAGAACCGAGATATTGAGGTGAAGCAACATCGACTTGAGAAACGAATGGCAGAGGATGAGAAAGACGAGTCTACAATTGAGTTGAAAGAGATCCATAAAGCATTCTCAGAAGAATCTAAAGCTAAGAGCGAAGAGAATTTACTGAAAGAGGATGAACTGGCAAATCTACGCCTTGGATCAAGTGATAGTTCCCGAGTAGTCCAACAGATCAATGAAGCAATTCAAAAAGAAATAGGAAACCTTCCGTCACAAATGGAAAAGACCAGAAGCAAAATGTCCAAGAAATTAGAAGAATACCTCGATTCAATCCAAGGAACGATCTTAACCGCGACCAGAGCATTGAATGATGTGACTGGCTATTCCGCAATTGAAAAATTGAAAAAATCAATTGAAAAACTTGAAGCAGAATTAAGAGAATGCAAAGAACAAGTAAAAGAATGTAAAATTGCATATACTGACGCCATTCAAAGGCGATCTGATTCGCAACGTGAAGTGAATGAATTGTTAACGAGAAAACATAATTGGTCCACTAAGGATTTGGAACGTTTTACTGAACTTTATAGAAATGATCATGCCAATGAACGATTAGAATCTGAAGCTGAACAGAATCTTGAGGATGCTGAACAAAAGGTGGATGCGGTTCAATTGAAATTAACACAACTGATTTTGACAAGATATCATGAAGAACAGATTTGGTCGGATAAGATTAGAAGATCGTCAACTTGGGGAACTTGGATTTTGATGGGAATTAACGTAATGCTTTTTATGGTGGCTACATTTTTTGTTGAGCCTTGGAAGAGAAGGAAATTGGTCAGGGCATTTGAAGATAAAGTCAAGGATTTGTTAGTTACTCAAGAAGAAACTAAGGTAATTGAACATTTGTTACAACCAGCTAAAGATGTGGAAGAACCAATCTTGCAACCAATTGAAGATGTAGTAGAAGGTGTTGTCGGTTCGGTTGAAACAACTCTTGAGATAGCTTCCCAAGAAGTCGCCAATTTGGTTGAATCTCCTATATCTGAAGAACCACGTGAAGCAGGGGATTCCTCCAAATCAAAGCAATTTGAACTTAATTTTATCAAATCAACTTGGAATGACTTTAAACAAGTTGTTACTAGCAATTATAATGCTTTATCTTCCCCTGATGTTACAACATTACAGGTGAATAAATTTCAATTTGAAGTGTTCTTGGTGTCTATTACGTTTGTTGCATGTAGTATTGGAAGTTTGATAACATTATATTTCAAATAGATAAATAGCAAATATAGACTATATTCATATAGAGTTGAGAATCTACGGACCCAACAGGTTTTGCAACCCAATCACTAAGACGGAAACCCCTTGTAAGTAGAATGTTTTCTGATAAGCTTTTTACGACAAAGAAAAAATACAGTGGCTTCTTTTACTCATATCTCCTGACTTCTCTCCTTTTCTAGCTTCATTTCTATGAACAATATTGGATTCTGAACTTGTGAATATTGTTTGTCTAGCTGATGTCTCAGTATGTCTGTAAATATATGTTGCAAAAAACGAGCTATGATAAAAGTACACGACTAACAAAATTTAAACTTAGTCGTGCAAACTCCAAATATCATTTGAAAAAAAAGCCAAAGAACCAAAAAGAAGTCGCCACTCTATTAAATAATTAGATTCATCCATCATCATCCTTTATTCAACTTTATTAAAAGAAACTTACAGGCACACAATGGAAGATCCAGTTCTTTTAGAATCTTCAGTCAATAGTATTTTATCCAGAATAAATAGTAAACATCAAGAAGATCCTGATGTTTATCTAAAATTAAAGAAATTAGAAAAAGAATTGGAATTATTAAAATTACAAGAGGAATATATTAAAGATGAACAACGTCATTTAAAAAGAGAATTAGTAAGGGCACAAGAAGAAGTCAAAAGAATCAAATCAGTTCCATTAGTAATTGGACAATTCTTAGAACCAATTGATGAAAATACTGGTATTGTATCATCAACCACTGGTTCAAATTATGTTGTTCGTATTTTATCAACATTAGATCGTGAATTATTAAAACCTTCAAGTTCGGTTGCATTACATCGTCATTCCAATGCTCTTGTTGATATCTTACCCCCAGAAGCTGATTCTTCTATTTCTATAGTTGGAGAAGATCAAAAACCTGATGTTACATATGCAGATGTTGGTGGATTGGATATGCAAAAGCAAGAAATTAGAGAAGCTGTTGAATTACCTTTAACTCAAGGAGAATTATATTCACAAATTGGTATCGATCCACCTAGAGGTGTTTTATTATATGGTCCTCCAGGTACTGGTAAGACCATGTTAGTTAAGGCAGTTGCTAATTCTACTACTGCATCTTTTATTAGAATTAATGGATCAGAATTTGTTCAGAAATATCTTGGTGAAGGTCCAAGAATGGTTAGAGATGTCTTTAGGTTAGCTAGAGAAAATTCCCCTGCTATTATATTTATTGATGAAATTGATGCTATCGCCACGAAAAGATTTGATGCCCAAACTGGTGCTGATAGAGAAGTTCAAAGAATTTTATTGGAATTATTAAATCAGATGGATGGATTTGATCAACAATCAACCGTGAAAGTGATTATGGCTACTAATAGAGCTGATACTCTAGATCCTGCATTATTAAGACCTGGTAGATTGGATAGAAAGATTGAATTCCCAAGCTTGAAAGATAGACGAGAAAGAAGATTGATTTTCTCTACAATTGCTTCCAAGATGTCACTTGCACCTGAAGCAGATTTGGATTCTTTGATTATTAGAAATGATCCATTATCAGGAGCGGTTATTGCGGCTATTATGCAAGAAGCTGGTTTAAGAGCAGTTAGAAAGAATAGATATATGATCTTACAAAGTGATTTGGAAGAAGCTTATACTTCTCAAGTAAAGACTGGTACCGAACATGATAAATTTGATTTCTATAAGTAAGTAGGAAATATGTACATTAATAAAAAAGCTTTTTAAAGTAATTGATATATATCAAGCTCAGTAAAATGTTGGATTCCAATGGTGAAGTTTAAATGGTCCATATCAATATGTCTCTTTGAATTCCATATCAATTTAAACTGAGTTTGATTGATGTGATGAGATAAACTCATTGGCGCAACAAGATAAACCAGTTTCTTCTCGTCATCTTCTCTCAGCAATCCACTAATCACGTCCTCTACCCTCTCAAAATCATTCCCCATCGCATCTATAATATTAATCCTCTTATTCATATCCAATTCCCCATCAATAAGTATAGTCTGAGTAGAATTATTCCCTAAAACCCAACTAGGAGGCGAATAAGTCTTCCACCAAATCTGAACCGCACGATCACCTCCATTCTCTCTTAGGTAATCCATAGCGGGCACAACCCCACCTTGATGGAATATACCCATTAATAAACACATAACAGTATTGAAAATATACCAAGTATACAACATCCAAGATCTGACGTGTTTGGAAGTAAAATCAAAACAACAGCATGCGAGGGGTACTATCGGCATAAGGAATCGTAATTCCTGATGAGGGATTGCTGAAAGGAATATAACTGCTCCAGTTAGACTTAAGAAGGGGATTGTTTTCCAATAGGTTCGATTTATGAGGAGGAAGAAGATGCCTGGTCCGAGGAGAATTGGAAGGTTGATTAGGAGGTGGGTGTAGTATGGGTGGATGCCATGTTTTGAAAGGTTGTCGACATTGGTGTTGTAGATTAGGTTATTAAGTGGGGTGATTGTGTAGTGGGAGATATCGAAGGGTGTTTGCATGGGTTGTTTCCCAAAAGAGATTGTGTCGATGATTATTAGGAGGATTGTTGGGATGATGAAACCGAGTAATATAATTGAAAGTTGGAGTGGATGTTGGAGAATGTATTTCAAGATGTACCAGCTTGGTAGTATCAAAAACACGGGGAATGTAACTCTATTGAATATCCCAATTGATATTAATCCACCTAGTATAAACATACTCTTAGTTTTGTTCAATTGTTTCACCTCAACATCGGTAGTTTCTAAGATATATCTCAAATCATCAATAATCAAAAGTGACAGCAAAACAAGAATCGTTTCAAAACTATTCGAAAATAAATGTGATTGATATACTAATGTAATATATGACGTCAGTGTAAAGAATATTGCTTTAATCCTTTCTGGTTTTGTTGGTAACATCCAATATAAGCAATAATCAGTCACTATCCATGTCAAAAATGCCAATTGTAATCTTGCGCAATACCAAATTTGTATAGGAGTCAATCCAAGATCTAAGAATCTGATTAAGTATAATAATGGTCCATATAATAAATATAATATCCCAATACTTCTAGCTGGATTTTCTGATTGGAATTCCCATGGGATATTAGTTGAATAGCCTAAGATTCGATGACTTACGATTTCAAAACTTTGGAAATGCTCATCTGGATGTATATATGATTCTTGAGTGGCAAAATAGAATCTGAATAGAATTGTAAGGAGATAAAATGTTCTCCAATTGATATTGGGAACTTTAATCATTGATGATTTTGATGAACTATTATACTGACAGGAAAAGAGAATGAAAAATTAATTTGTGTAGGACGGTTTGAGATTCTGCGACATAGATCATAAGTGACGACATATAACATATTCTGCGACACATCATGTCAAACCCGATATTTTTTAATCTTGTAAAATATTTTTTAATGTGTGTTATTTTCCAGCCGATCCTACATACATTATGAATTTATTGCAAAAATTAATTTCACAATTTTTTTAATGCCGCTTTGCTTGAAAGATTACTTTGGATTAAGTTACTCAAAAGCGTACGAAGCAATGAGCAGGGTCGACCGTTGAAGACCAAGTGAAAACTACTTCTCACTCTCTCTTCCTACTTCAATGTTATTGGCCCGAATAAAGCCTCAAGAGGAGGAAACACAATACAACCCGTTTTCCAATAGCAACGCAATCATCCATGAAGCTAATAGGTGTAATACCCAGTTTCATATTGGATGTGGTTACATTCTATGTGTAATCTTTATTGTTTTTCATTTTATGCTTCATTTACCAATAAGTGTAAAAGTTATTAAAGTTGAGGTGAATGAAAATTTTAATTGATCCGGTAAACATCGGAGTAAGAAAAAAAGTCCGTCTCGTCGGAACCGAAGAGGGGAGGATGTCGTACAATAAACCATTTTTATTGGTCAAACGGACAAAATCCCATCGAATGAAAATGTCGTACACACCCCATCAACAATGTCGTCCAAAATCTGCATTCCATTTTTCATTTTCAACATCGATGAACCTTCACTGTAAAGATTTCAATTTTTTTCTGAGTTTCATCCTTTCTAGTTTCTTTCTTTCTATTGAAGTAACAGATTTCCCATATCTAAACAAATAACCAAGATGTTCAGACAAATTGCCAGAAGAGCACCAATTGCCCCAAGATTCACCAGATCCTACATTGCCGGTCAATTCACTGGTTCAAAAGGTCCAAATGGTAAATATACCGTTACTTTAATTGAAGGTGATGGTATTGGTCCAGAAATTTCCCAATCAGTTAAAGACATTTATGCTGCTGCTGAAGTTCCAATTGAATGGGAACCAGTTGATGTTACTCCATTATTAATTGATGGTAAGACCACTTTACCTCAACCTGCAGTTGATTCTGTTAATAAGAATTTAGTTGCTCTTAAAGGTCCTTTGGCTACACCAGTTGGTAAAGGTCATACATCTATGAATTTAACTTTAAGAAGAACTTTCAACTTATTTGCTAATGTCCGTCCATGTAAATCTATTGTTGGATATGATACACCTTATGAAAATGTTGATACTGTTTTAATTAGAGAAAATACTGAAGGTGAATATTCTGGTATTGAACATACTATTGTTCCAGGTGTTGTTCAATCTATTAAATTGATTACTAAACCAGCTTCTGAAAAGGTTATCAGATATGCTTTTGAATATGCTAAATCTATCAATAAACCCCATGTTTTAGTTGTTCATAAGGCTTCTATTATGAAATTATCTGATGGTTTATTCGTTAGTACTGCTAAAGAAATTGCCAAAGAATATCCAGATGTTAAATTAGATTTCGAATTATTAGACAATACTTCTCTTAAATTAACTTCCGATCCATCTGATTATAAAGAAGTTGTTATGGTTATGCCAAACTTATATGGTGATATTATGTCTGATTTATCTTCTGGTTTAATTGGTGGTTTAGGTTTAACTCCATCCGGTAATATGGGTAACAAGGTTTCTATCTTTGAAGCCGTCCATGGTTCTGCCCCAGATATTGCTGGTAAGGGATTAGCTAACCCAACTGCTTTATTATTATCTTCTTGTATGATGTTGAGACATATGTCTTTGAATGCTGATGCTGATAGAATTGAAAATGCTGTTTTGAAGACTATTGCTTCTGGTCCAGAAAACAGAACTGGTGATTTGAAGGGTACTGCTTCTACTTCACATTTCACTCAACAAGTTATTGGTAACTTGTAAATTATAGGTCATGCCGAAGTATAAACTTATTTATATCACTTAACATTCTTTTCATAAACATATATTTAACGCATTAGTTCTTTTTTTTGACATTATCTATTATTTAAATAAATAATTTATCATTTAGTGTATTTACAAAGAGATACATAAACTTGTAAGAAATGTTCCATTCATATTGTATATATATCTATGCTTAGACACATTATTCACGCTTTGGAAAGTCTTTCATTCTCTTCTTTAATAGCATCTATTTCTTTAGATAATTCATCTAATTTAATCTTTGTTTCTTTAGATACGGAATCCTTCTTCTTTGATAACTTTTCCAAGATAATATTTGTTCCTTCAACAATTGCTACATGTTCAACTTTATGAACTCTATCTTCATATTCTTCCAAAGATTCACCTTTAATCAAATCGATTTCTTTAACTAAAATAGGTTCACCTCTATCAACTTCAGCAATCACTCTATGTATCATTACTCCTCCTTTAGTTATTTTACCTTCTTGACCTTCTTTCCAACAACGATCTATGGCATGAGTACCTTCAAATGCACCAGGTAAAGCAGGATGTAAGTTAATAATAGTTATTCCTGCTTTTTCCAATGGTTGTAATACACTTGGAGATAATATTAACATCCAACCAGCACAAACAATTAAATCTGGTTTCTTGTAAGTTTCATCTTTGGTAATTCCTTCAATATTTCCATAAATTAATAAATTTGCTAAATCTAAATTAAATTGTTCTCTTTTTGATTTACGTAATTCAACTTCTTCTTTTGGTATTCCCTTGTAATAATTCTTTAAAATATGATTCTTAGTTGGAATTGAAGCATTTGAAGCTCTAGTTAATCCATAAGCTGTTTCACTTGATGAAATAACTTGAGTAATTGTTCCTTTCAATTGATCCTTTTGTTGTGCATCAATTAATGCTTGTAAGTTTGTACCTGATCCAGATATTAATACAGTTATATTTAATGTCATTGTAATGTCTATCTATTCTCCTTGACTGTTTGCAACCCTTTCGTATCAATGTCTTTGGTAATGAAATTTTTTCCCCTTCCCTCTTCTCACAGTATTTAGTGATTGATTAATTCTTGTATGGCAGGGATAATTGACTCTGGCTTTCCAAAAAGGGAAATCGTGTCACATGACTTTCACATGACCACATTTATTGGATTTGTTTGATTTTTACTCCCTTTGTCTCAGAAGGTTTTCAAAGTTTTCACTCCATTTTTTGCAAATAATCATCCAATTTTTTTATGAAGTGAAATTTCCAGAAATGTTAGATAGAGAAAGTTGATTAAATTTATGATTTCTCTGATAAAGCTATGAGCTCAATTGAATTGATAGTAAAAATATCACCAGAAGGACATTTCAGCCGTACTAATAGTTTGTATCAATTGTACATATACTAATAACTATTAGAGTAGAGATCATAAGTAGGGTCTCATCCGGGTAATCTAACGTGGTGTAAATTTCATACCAAAAATAGACCTAACCTGTAAAATGACATAACACAAACATGAAATGAGATGAACTGAAAAATTTATATTTTATTAAACTGTAAAAGAATACTGTCAAAGAAAAATTCAACAATCCACTCACTCGCCCACCCCCCTCGTGCTGACAATTCCTCAATAACCTGTAAAGTACGAGCAAATGGCTTTAACTTTTTTCTAGTGGTCTTCTCTTTTTTACAACACCCAAATTCAATTGAACAGAAAAATTTTTCTCTCTTTCTATTCTTCTCTTCTTCTTTTTGTTTTAAGAAACCAATTAACGACACAATTCAAGATGGGTATGTTTTATAACTTAACTTTAACTTAATAGGGGGGATCTTACTACTGTTTATAATTGACACTACTTTTACATCAATACAATTCAATTGAATGAATTCAATTGAATAGAGAAGATGATGGTTATAATGGCAAAAAGGGGGATTTTGGAAAAAAAAAGAGTGAAAATTTTTTCGCACTGAAACTTTAATGACCTTGCGATGGTTTAATTGAATGTGTGTGTCTTTACCCACCACATACAAATTATAAACCATCAATTACTAGCTTACACAATATACTTTACACTATGACAATGAACAATTAATAAACATGTAAAAACCCCCCTGAATTCTATGACAATTCTTTATACTAACATCTCCTTTTTTTTAGTTGCTTTCACTATTGAACAAATCCGTGGATTGATGGACAAGGTTACTAATGTTCGTAACATGTCCGTCATTGCCCACGTCGATCACGGTAAATCTACTTTAACTGATTCTTTAGTCCAAAGAGCTGGTATTATTTCTGCTGCCAAGGCTGGTGAAGCTAGATTCACTGATACTAGAAAGGATGAACAAGAAAGAGGTATTACTATTAAATCCACTGCTATTTCTTTATATGCTTCTATGAGTGATGATGATGTCAAGGAAATCAAGCAAAAGACTGACGGTAACTCTTTCTTAATTAACTTGATTGATTCCCCAGGTCACGTTGATTTCTCTTCTGAAGTCACTGCTGCTTTACGTGTTACTGATGGTGCTTTAGTTGTCGTTGATACCGTTGAAGGTGTCTGTGTCCAAACTGAAACTGTCTTGAGACAAGCTTTAGCTGAAAGAATTAAGCCAGTTGTTATTATTAACAAGGTTGACAGAGCTTTATTAGAATTACAAGTCACCAAGGAAGATTTATATCAATCTTTCTCTAGAACTGTTGAATCCGTTAACGTCATCATTTCTACTTATCATGACCCAGCTTTAGGTGAAGCTCAAGTTTACCCAGATAAGGGTACCGTTGCTTTCGGTTCCGGTTTACATGGTTGGGCTTTCACTGTTAGACAATTTGCTAACAGATATGCTAAGAAATTCGGTGTTGACAGACAAAAGATGATGGAAAGATTATGGGGTGACTCTTACTTCAACCCAAAGACCAAGAAATGGACCAACAAGGAAAAGGATGCTGATGGTAAAACTTTAGACAGAGCCTTCAACATGTTCGTTTTAGACCCAATCTTCAGATTATTCGCTGCTATCATGAACTTTAAGAAGGATGAAATTCCAGTCTTATTAGAAAAGTTGGAAATTAACTTAAAGGGTGATGAAAAGGAATTAGAAGGTAAAGCTTTATTAAAGGTTGTTATGAGAAAATTCTTACCAGCTGCCGATGCTTTATTAGAAATGATTATTTTACATTTACCATCTCCAGTTACTGCTCAAGCTTACAGAGCTGAAACCTTATATGAAGGTCCATCTGATGATGCTTTCTGTGCTGCTATCAGAAACTGTGACCCAACTGCTGACTTGATGTTGTATATCTCCAAGATGGTCCCAACCTCTGATAAGGGTAGATTCTACGCTTTCGGTAGAGTTTTCGCTGGTACCGTTAGATCTGGTCAAAAGGTTAGAATTCAAGGTCCAAACTACCAAGTTGGTAAGAAGGAAGATTTATTCGTCAAATCTATTCAAAGAACCGTTTTAATGATGGGAAGATTTGTTGAACAAATTGATGACTGTCCAGCTGGTAACATTGTTGGTTTAGTTGGTATTGATCAATACTTATTGAAATCCGGTACTATTACCACCAATGAAGCTGCTCACAACATGAAGGTTATGAAATTCTCTGTCTCCCCAGTTGTTGAAGTTGCCGTTGAAGTTAAGAATGCTAACGATTTACCAAAATTAGTCGAAGGTTTAAAGAGATTATCTAAATCCGATCCATGTGTTAAGGTTTATATGTCCGAATCTGGTGAACATATTGTTGCTGGTACTGGTGAATTACATTTAGAAATTTGTTTACAAGATTTAGAAAATGATCATGCCGCTGTTCCATTAAGAATTTCCCCACCAGTTGTTTCTTATAGAGAAACTGTTGAAAAGGAATCTTCTATGACTGCTTTATCTAAATCTCCAAACAAGCATAACAGAATCTACGTTAAGGCTCAACCAATTGATGAAGAAGTTTCTTTAGACATTGAAGCTGGTGTTATTAACCCAAGAGATGATTTCAAGGCCAGAGCCAGAATCTTAGCCGACAAGCACGGTTGGGATGTCGGTGATGCCAGAAAGATTTGGTGTTTCGGTCCAGATGGTAACGGTCCAAATTTGGTTGTTGATCAAACCAAGGCTGTTCAATACTTGAATGAAATCAAGGATTCAGTTGTTGCTGCTTTCCAATGGGCTACCAAGGAAGGTCCAATTTTCGGTGAAAATGTTAGATCTTTAAGAGTTAACCTTTTAGATGTTACTTTACATGCTGATGCTATCCACAGAGGTGGTGGTCAAATTATCCCAACCATGAGAAGAGTCACTTATGCTTCTATGTTATTAGCTGAACCAGCTATTCAAGAACCAATTTTCTTGGTTGAAATTCAATGTCCAGAAAATGCTATTGGTGGTATTTATTCCGTCTTGAACAAGAAGAGAGGTCAAGTTATTTCTGAAGAACAAAGACCAGGTACTCCATTGTTCACTGTTAAGGCTTACTTACCAGTCAATGAATCTTTTGGTTTCACTGGTGAATTGAGACAAGCTACTGGTGGTCAAGCTTTCCCACAATTGATCTTTGACCATTGGTCTATCTTAAGTGGTGATGTTACTGATCCAAACACCAAACCAGGTTTAATTGTCAAGGAAAAGAGAATTAGACAAGGTTTGAAACCAGAAGTTCCAGGTTACGAAGAATACTATGATAAATTATAAGCTTGTTTTCGTTACAGGTTTGTATTTTTGATAATGGTACGCTTCTTTATTTGAATCGTATCTCATCTTGTGTTTATGTTTTTTGTTTACTCTAATTATTTTTATAGTTTAGTGAATCAATAGTTCTTTTAAAAAAATATAAATTTTATATTAAAAATTGTGTTTGTATTGTAGAGAGATTAATAGAATTAGGGTTGCAATGAGGTACTGTTGTGAGTGTCATCAATGGATTGTCTGTATAACTGGTTTTTTTTTGGCTACACTTAATATAATAAGTATTGTTGCTCAAGATGTGCATATTCCAACCAGAGGTTAATAATACTGATCAGCTGATTGGCCAACTACATCCAAACGAGTATGAAACGTTAATAGAGACAGTTTAGCCCTAAATTCGATCTGATAAAATGAAAATCCACGTTTTACATGCATCAAGCTACACAGAGAGGCATAAGAAAATCTAAGCGTTTTTATTTTCGGCTGGTTGCAAAAGCAACATAAACTTTCTACGATTCCCTTTTTCTATACTCTGAATCGATCAGAAGAGTAATTGAGAGATCGGGTAATTATACTAGGCAGAGGAGTGGTTCGGTAAAAATGTTCTTATTCATTATATTAATACAATAAATATAGGGCAAGTTGGGGCAGAGGCTTTCCACTTAGACTTCCCAATTAGGAAGTTACTGGAACCACAATTCCGCAACCGTTGCAAAATAAAAAATTGATTGGAAATCATTTTGAACATCGGTCATTTGAGATGATCTTTTCCATCTAGAAATTCCAAACCTGTAATAAAGTCACTAATCAATCCCGATCTTTCCGATCGTGACCAATCATATGATAGTTTTATTTCTTGGAGGATAAATAATAAATAATATTAGAGTCGGAAAGAACGGCTGAAAAAAATAAAACAGCAAATTAAAAAAAGTAATTTGCAATTTAATGACGGTATCGGTTCGGTGGAAATATAATACTTTCCCCATTACATAATCGTTCTAAATCTCATAAAACATGAAAGATGGATCCTGTCAACTTTTTTAAAATTTCATTTACAAACTCATAATTCTTGTTTTAACGAGCTTATATATATAGCGCAAAATGATGGAAGAGAGTGGCATGATCTCAAGACCCAAAGATGGTGTTTCCGGAGACAGGATAGACTATGCCGATTTTACTTATTGGTATATAAATATGGTGATGTCTGGGATATTACTTTTATTTTACTCATATAAATTATTTAGGTCAAAGAGAAGATACTGTAAACCAGTCATATTGATCCTATGGAATGTTCTTGTATCAAATTCATTCACATTTCTTATCGACAAGAATCAGTTGTTTGGGTTGTTAGTCTCACACAAATCATTAATTAACCAACTGTCTGATTTAGAATTGAATTCAATATATTTACATAATGATTTGAAATTGGTAATATGTATGATCATATCAATGATTGCTGGATATTGTATGATACATCACGACCAAATATTTTGCTTTCCCAAGCTTATATTATCATTAGCATTATTTTTTATCACGTCATTATTCATTATTCCTTCACATTCTATAACAAACACGTCTTCAGTGCTTTATACTACAATCCAAGGAGATATTAGTTTCAATTATATACTAGTAACAATCTCACTAACATTTATATTTATCATATCTACGATATTTTTCGAGACTGCTTCCATAAACCTTGCAGTTACTAAATTCTTGTATCAATTTATATGGTGCTATAATTGTATTTTGATACTTTCGTCATATTGGTTCACTATCATTGTTAGAGATATCCTAATAAATGTATTAAATCAAACGATTGACACAACACAGGCACAATCTTCATTAATAACATCAATATTCTTGAATTATTATTCTCATGTTACTTCAAATTGGGAAGATAATATGGAAGGTATTTCACACCAATGGCAAGTAGTGAATTTTATTAATGGATTTAATGGATTGTATGTCACTGCTGAGAGTTTCTGGTATGGATTGTGTGCATTTAATTGGTTGGTTGTTCCTGGAATATTACTCTTGTTGTCTCATAGACATAGGAATGGGGAAAATACCGAAAAAGAGATTGTATAGTTTATCATATTTATTTATAGCTAGTTAAGTTTAATCTATTTTTGTACGGTGTACGTTATATGAAACCTGAAGAACTGAGTGTTTTTGAATTGGTGTATGATTTGCAGCCAGTGCTACCTTTTAGGAGGCTTTTGAAACCAAAAAGAGCCAACACACTTTGTAAAATTCATTCCAATTAATTTTCCACGAGATTAATACAACATTATGGGTTTCAATTTGACTGCTAAGTGACCGTAATCATTTTTACACCGTGAGTGTTAGGAGACGACAGGCGAATTTTATTGGAGTTGAAAGTATAGACATAACAGCTCTAATCTGGGTCAATAAATGTTAAAAGTTCCTAGAGGCTTGTCTGTTCACTTGCGTTTTGGTGCGCCATCTAATAGGTTTTGCTACTGGTCTTCGCTACTCCATAATTACGGCAGCTATTGATGGCAATCTCACAATAAATTGAACGTGATGGTGGATCGGGGGTAAGATCTTGATCTTTTCCAAATTAAGAATTGTGTCCGACACGCTATCTCATTTAGGAATAACTCCGATCAAGTTTCACTTTTTCAAATATCTCCGTGCAACGGCCCTTTTAGGAAATCGCGCATTTTCGAGGAAAATTTTTCAAATCAGATTTACTCCACAGTATAAATTACCCCTGATTTTCCCTTGATCTCAGACTTAATTTTTTCCATTCTCCAATTCAAAAATAAGCAAACAAAAATGTCAATTGAGTTAAAATATAACAATTTAGGGAATTCTGGATTAAAGATTGCTCCAGTTATTGTTGGATGTATGACTTATGGGTCAAAAGATTGGGCTGAATGGGTTATGGAAGATGAAGAAGAAATTTTCCGAATTTTAAAGAAATGTTATGATGTTGGGTTACGTACCTTTGATACTGCTGATGTTTATTCCAATGGTAAATCCGAAGAATTGTTAGGTAGATTTCTTAAGAAATATAATATCCCTCGTGATCGAGTTGTTATTTTGAGTAAATGTTTCTTCCCAGTTGATGAAACAACCCCTGGCTTTAACTTGGTTAATAGAGACAAATTCCCCGCTGTTGATTATTATAATTCCCAAGGTCTTTCAAGAAAACACATTTTCGATGCCGTTGAAAATATTAAACGCAGATTGGGGACATATGTTGACGTATTACAAATCCATAGATTGGATCAATCTACTCCAAAGAGAGAAATCATGAAAGCATTGAACGATGTTGTTGATCAAGGATATGCTAGATATATCGGTGCTTCCTCAATGAAAGCCACCGAGTTTGTCGAATTACAATATATTGCTCAAACCAATAATTGGCATAAATTCATTAGTATGCAAAATTACTATAATTTGATCTATAGGGAAGAAGAAAGAGAAATGATTCCATATTGTCAAAAAAATGAAATTGGAGAAGTCGGTATTATTCCGTGGTCTCCTATTGCAAGAGGTGTTTTAGCAAGACCAGCTGGGAAAGAATCAGAAAATAAAAGAGATAAGAGTGATAGAACTTTCCAGATGTTACATCTTGATAGTTTGTCAGAATCTGAAAAAGAGATAATTGGAAGGGTTGAAATCTTAGCTAAAAAGCATAATGTTAGCATGGCAGCTCTTGCTACCAGTTGGGTTATTGGTAAGAAGTGTAATCCAATCGTGGGTCTTTCTTCTGTTAAGAGAGTGGATGATATTTTAGTGGCTACTACTATTGAGTTAACTGAAGATGAAGTCAAATACTTAGAGGAGCCTTATGTTGCAAAGGCTAGCTTGTTTTAGAGTTATCTCTTTTGCGTGTGTAGGAAGTAGACCGATTTTTTTAATACTATTCAAACATCCCTCTGTTTACTACTGCTTAGGTGGCAGATGTAAATTATACTCCGATGTGGCAGACGTGGCCATAACGTATACAATGGCACCAAACGATCTACAAACTGTAATCTCATATTTACATTCAGTGCAATACTTTGACTTAGAAAGAAGAAATACAATTAAGAGTAAACCCCTCGTTTTTGAT